ACTGAATCAGCTCAGTCAGGATAAAACTGGCCTGTGGATTGTGTTTGGTCCCTAGAACAAGAGATATGTCAAGTCCACTGGATCCCTAAACAGAAATGGGGGCTGCTGAGAGAGAAAATAAAAACCAGGTACACAAGCAACAATGACGTTAAGTGAAAGCAGGGTCACTTTATTGAGCCTCTACATGCAAAAAGTGCTCCAGTTCTCAACAATCCTTTTTCTGGTCACTGAATGTGGGGGTTTCTCTTAGGCCTGAAGCAAAGCCAAAAGCTCCACAGCTGGAGACTGTCAGACGGCTGGGTAGTGTGGGCACCTTTTTTCCAAGTGCCTTCCAGGCCATCACATGCTGGTACAGCAGGAAAGCAAAGACATCTCAGCCCTCAGGAAATTAGGATGCTGAACCACTGGCTGGTTGGCTGTGGAAAGTCTAGAGTAATCAATGTGAGCCTGGGCCTCAAAGGGACAGTCTCCAACACCGGCTCTACATACCACAGGAGCTGTGCAGACAGGATACTGGACCACAGAGTAGGATGATTTGAGTCCTCTTTCAATTTATATTTTATCTGAAGAAACAAGGTTACTGATATTTAATATACAGATTGACAATGCTACACCAGTATAATTTACATGTAAACTCACACATATTGGAGGTACATGTTACCTTTTTTCTTTTTTTTTTAATTTTCTTTTTATGTTCCCCATACAATTGCAACCCCCTTATTTTGACCCCAATCCCACCTTTCCTCGCTCCCCCGCACCACCATAGTGTGTCTCTGGTTCACAGTTGTTTGTTGATTTTGATTACAATCCACAGGCCAGTTTTATCCTGACTGCGCTGATTCAGTCATCCCATCATCAATCAGAGTGAATCTCAAGATTTCTTCTTGGAATTCAGGAACCAAAGCGGTCCCTTTCTCTGGATGCCATAAATGTGTACGCACAAGGCCTGGCCACCACCTCGTGACAGTGAAGGGCTTGAATTGATGAAGATTATGTATCGAGAGGGGGAGGGCTTAGAGAAGCATCAAGAGCTGAAGTTCTGATAATAAGTTCTAATAATAAGTTCACTCATAGATTCCTGCTATGAGTGAGACCATCCAGTATTTTTCTTTTTCTTTTGGGCTTATTTCGCTGAGCATGATCCCTTCCAGCTCCATCCATGTTGCTGCAAATTGCATGTGTTTATCTTTTTTGAATGCTGAGTAATATTCCATGGTGTATATGTACCACATCTTCTTGATCCAGTCATCTATTTTTGGGCATTTGGGTTATTTCCAAAGCTTAGCTATTGTAAATAGTGCTGCTATAAACATAGGGGTGCAGGTGCTCTTTGGAATGGATGTTTCTGTGTCCTTTGGGTAAATACCTAGGAGTGGAATTGCTGGATCATATGGGAGCTCTATCTTTAGTAGGTTGAGGAATCTCCACACATTACCTTTTTTCTAATGGGAGTATGCAACTTAAAAATTTCAGAGACTGAAACTGCCTTGAAGGATGGAGCTGAGTCAGGACTAGTCCCTGTAGGGCCTTGTTGGAAAGGGTGTGAGGGAGGGGGCCAGGGTTCCCTTCTCTAAGCCTACATCCTTCTGGGAGTCAAGGAGCTCGGCACCCAGGGGCCAAGACTTGCCTTCCTCGGTGCCATCTCCACAGTGAGCCTCCTCCCAAGCCTGGCCTAGCCCAGAGGGTGGTGGGTAGAGGGTCCTACAGGGCTGTGGCCACCAATTCTCCATGCACAGCAGCCCATCCCGTGCCCACCCCACCCCCCTGAAGAATGCTGGAGCCCACAGCCACTGAGTCATGGCCCGTGGAAAGGGCCCCTGCTCACCACAACCTTTGGGGTTTGCTGTGCTGTCTGGTGCCCACACCACAGAGTATAGGGTGTCCGGCCTCCACGAGGCACAGAAGGCCCCGAGGTTCAGATGGCTATATAAGGCTGAGGCTGCAGGGGGGTGACAGGGCTGCCAGACCCCAAGAGCAATTTGGCTGGTCTGGATGGTGACGCAAACATTTTCCCCGCATTTCGGCAGTGAGACTGAATCATATCCTCAAAACCTCAAGCCTGACGGCGCACATAATGCCGACACTTCAGAAAGGCAGAGGGTTGACCCAGGCACTCCCTTCACAACAAAGAAGTATTTGGGACAACACAGAGAAAGCTGCCCTGGTTGAACTAGTCCCGGCTCTGCCACAGACAGAGGAGGGTCGGTTCCCCACTTGGGGCCTCAGTTTCTGCGTCTGTACTAAGGCGACAGCAGAGTCCCCATGCTACCTCACAAAGTGCCTAGGAGCCCCAGAGAAATCAGGTGTCATAGTGGGCACCCCTGGTTCTTTGAAAAGAGCAAAGCTTGGTCTTGCATCAAGAGGACTTGGTGGATTTACTGCCAGATTGTCGCCTGCTGGTCTTCACCAGGACACACAACTTCTAGAAAGATACGGTCTGTATATGCTTACCTAGATACAGCACCTTCTGTTTCAGATGTCTTTGACCCCCTTTGACTTCTCACAGTGACCTAGGAAGGTAGCAGGGCAGGAACTCACCCCGGCCAAGAAAGTCTGGAAAGTTCCATGAACTCGAGGTCACAAGGCAAGCTGATGACAGAACCAAGGGGACAACCAGCACTTGGATCTTCCCCAAAGATCTCGCCCCACCAAGTCAGTTGTTAGGTCTCCGAGTTCCACAATGTAAAATGGGAAGAGTTTTGAGGATCAACCTTGTAAGGTTGTGAAGTGTGTTCTAGAAGACAATGAAAATTGCTATTCTAGATGATGGCCATGGTTTTTCTAAACTAGAAGCTTCTGGGGCCTGATTCTCCTAGAGGCACCCACTAAGGTAGTCCTCAAAGGCTCTCTTTCCAGAAAGCACTGACAGTCAGGCAGTGGTGTCCTGGAGAGGCTATCCTTCTGGAAGACTTGGTCACAAATCAGGTTGACCTTGAAAACCAAAGTAGCTGGAAAAGCAGGCTTGGAGCCCAGACCTCACTTATGACTTGCCTCTCTCTCTCTCTCTTGGATTGGGGGTTGAGGGGACTGCAAAGAAAGGAACAGCCTTGACCACACAATCACCAGCAGAATTAAGCAGCCAAAACTCACGTCGTCTAGACAAACAGATTTTATGAGTCCAATTAATTTCTGTCGGTCAAAAATAGGCATGCTTAATAAGTGTATATATTTAGAATCTGTCATTATCTGGTCCCCAGGGGTGAAATTCAACTCTTATTTCATAGACTCTTAATTTCAAACAGAACTCTGTAAACTCCCACTTCAGACCTCACGTTCTTTCCAGAACGTAGAAGTGAGCAGGGGCAGGGACAGGGGAATTTCACCACAAGAAGCCACTGGAGTCTGTGTAGCTTGGGCCCCTAGATCAGTCCCCCTCTCGACCATCTTAAGTCCAAAAGTGAGCAATTGTTTCTTCTTCAGACAAAGTGAAGAAGAGGCAGTGCTGCGGGGGTTGGGTAGAAGGAGAGCTCCTGGCAGAGCAGGATTCCGAAAAGTGTCCTTGCTTCCAGTGTCCCACCTGTCCCTGGGCCCCAAACTCCACACCATCCATTCTCTGTCCCTCCAGGTCTGGGAGACCCTAGATTTGTATGAGCTGTGCTGCCCTCCCACTACTGCACAGCTGTCCCTGGGAGGGACACACACAGGAGGCCGAGAGCTAGGTTTACCCTCCTGGCCTAGAAGATTCCAGATCTTGCCAATGCTGACAGAGAGGGCAGGCAGGCACTGAAAGAACATGCTGCCCACTGTCAAGGTTTCACTTCCATCAGCACTGGTGTTCTGAGTACTTCTCTGTGCCACTCAGCCCCACAATGTTGCTCCCCTCTGGTGGGCCAGAGATGAAATGTAGAGGAGAGCTCTAAGGAGAGGGCCCCAGGACCATGCAGGCTGAGGTGACATTCTCCCCAGCCACAAAGGAGCTGAGTCCCCAGCCCATGCCCCCAGGACCATGAGCTTTTCATCCCAGCACTGCTGGGGTTTGGCCAGTTCAGGAAGGAGTGACACTCACTCTAGAAATATGTGTTCATGTGAGGCGTCTTCATCTCCTGTGGCTGCTTAACTAACCACCACAAAGTGGATGGCAGAAATGTATCCTCTCATAGCCCTAGAGACCAGGTGTCCAAAATCCAGGCTTAGCAGGGCTGTGATCCTGCTAAAGGATCTGGGAGGACCCTCCCTTGCCTCTTCCAGCTTCCATTGGCCCCAGCCATCTTTGGCTTGTGGCAGCATTGCCCCTAGCTCTGACTGGGTCTTCACATGGCCTTCTCCTCTCTCTCCTTTGTGTCTCTGACAAGGACACTTGTCATTGGATTTTGACCCCACCTAGATAACCAGGATGGTCTCATCTTGAGGTCCTTAATTACAGCTGCCAAGACCCTCTTCCAAACGAGATCACAACGGCATAGCTGGATGGCTGCCCTGAGCTCTCTTTAGCCCCACTGGTTGCCTTACCCATCCTGAGCAAATGCCTAGTGACTCAGGGGAGGGGACAGCCATGAGTACTAAGAATCATGCCTCATGGCAGGTCATCATCTGAAAGACTGTCGTATAAGGTGAGGAATGAGGCCCCATGCCGGTAGTGACAGGTGGCCAAGACTATGGCTCCAAAACCATCATTTCTCTGCCTGAATGACTGGGGCTACCACCCTCACCATATTAAACAAACTCATATTTATCAAGACTCAGCTCAAGCATCTCCGCCTCGGTGATGTCTGAACTGCCCCCTCTTCCAGGGACCACCTTCATCCCATTTGTTGCAGGACCTTGTGGTCCTCATCACCGTATGTTGACAGTTTGGCGATGGCCTGGAGTGGGCACAGGTCCTGTGACTGTATACTGAAGGGAGACAAAGCTCTGAGTGTGTGGTCTGCATATGGCCATTACCACTTGATGGATTCCCTCCCATGGCCTGACCTCACCTTCCCCTCAACACACCCACCAAGTTCCTTTCCCAAGAAGAAGCCCCTCCCACAGTATTTTCACTTGTCTTCCTTTCTTTCTAGGCTGGTGGTGGGCGCTCCATTGGAAACCAACGGCCATCAGAAGACAGGAGACATATACAAGTGCCCGGTGGCCCACGGGAACTGCACCAAGCTCAATCTGGGTAACTTGGGCCCCCAGTCTCTCCACAAGGAGACCAGTGGTTGTCTAGGGCAGGCAGACGCTAACGCAGGTCCAGTCAGCTGCCCTGCAAGGTGACCCAGCTCCTAGCGCTGGCCCCATTTCACAGATGAGGAAGCTGAGGCTGAAAAGGAAGATGACTTTCCCACAGTCACATAGCTTGTCAGGGACCGGCCAGGAGTCAAATCTAAGTGTTTTTTTCTGACTCATCCACTGCCCCTCCACATAGGGTTTTCTCTCCAGGGGAAAACTATTTCCTGTCTTTTTCTTTGATTTTGAAATAATCACATGGAGAGCTGACATCCACATATCTTATGTAATGTTCACCACATGCCAGGCACTGGTTTACGCATTTTTAGATATTTTGACTCATTTAATCTCTACAACAACCATATGAGAGTTAACCATTTAGCAAAGGAGGGGATGACCGCATAGAGGTGAGGGGACCGCCCGGGGCCACCCAGCTTATGAGTTACTAACTCCAGGACCCCAGCCCTGGCAGCCCCTTAACTCGTCCTCAACACTGCCTCTCTGAACTCCAGGCTAGATTGCTTGTGGAGGAGCTGTCAGGCACAGAGGAGATGTTGTGAGCAGCCTCCAGGCCTTCATGACCTTGTCCAACCCACACATGTGCCCGTGCACACTTTTGGGAAAGCACACACACACCCCCATCTTCTAAAGCATGTCCACTTGGTCCTAAAGACCAGTCAGTGGCCAGGCCATCACCATGTTGTCAGACGGAAGCAAAAGTTCCACTTGGGCTGAGAAGTCATGATTTCAGGTCTTACCTTAGAGGGCCAGCCTGCTCCAAGGCCAGGTCCCTTAGCCTTCCCTTCTCCCAGGGGACTCCTCCGCCCCAGAGCAGTGAGGTGGGGAGAGCAGGGGCCAAGTGGGGGGAGACAGCAGAGCTTCAAGAGCTTAGCAGATGGATGAAAGGCCTGCATCAAAGAGAAAGCCCAGAGAACCCAGATCCCCAGGGCAGCCAGCTGTCCCATCATGGGATGCCGGACGCTCCCACTGTCCACATCTGCATCAGCCCCACAAGTGGGAAATTCAAACCCCAGCACAGGCAGAGCCCTGACTTCAATGAGGGAACAGTCAGGGAGGGGCCTGGCTGGTGGCTCATGCACCCCCTGGTCCTCACTGGCCTGATCGCAAACTCTGCCAAGCTGGTGGTCTCCTTCACCGTGTGTGCAGGGACACCCACATCCTCTCTCTGAACTTCAGCTAGCTCCTAGGTAAAGTGAGGTGGTGGACTCAGCCACCCTCAGATCTGCTCCAGGTCTAACATGCCCCTAACCTTTAGTAAGCATCTGGTATATTCCAAGGCTATACTAGTTACTGGGGATGCGGCAGCGAACAAGAAGCCGGGGGTTCTGCGAGGAGAGGACAAAGCCAGTTGACAAATGAGAAAGGACCTCAGGTAGGGATAAATGCTATGCAATAAACTGGGGTGCTGCAGTAAGAGGAGCTGGTGAGAAGGGGGCTGGGGTGGGGAAGGGTCATGGGAAGAGGTAGGGAGAGAGGTTCTGCCTTGGTGTGGTGGTCAGGGGAGTCTTTTCTGAGTGGATGACATTTAAGCAAAGGTCTGCTGGAGACAGGTGAGGCTGGAACATTATGGGCAAAGGAGGAGCAGGCACAAAGGCCCTGAGGTGGTAACGAGCTCTCTGTCAGGGGGACAGAAAAAAGGGCCCTGCAGTGAGCGCAAAGGGAGGGGAGGCAGAGGAGGGCTGCTTTCATCACTGAGAAATGCTCCTGGTACAGGTGGGGACGCAGACACCTGAACGGATCATTGAGTTTCCTCTCTTGTTCTGGATTCCATGGGGACCCCTTTCTGCTCCAAAGGAAGAGGAGCCCCTGCTAACAGTGAGAGACATGGAGCCATCAGAGCCTGGAAAACTTTCCTGAACCGGGGCATAAGCTTGTGCAGCAAAATGAGGCTCATTGGGAAGCACTGCACTTGAGGAGTGTTTCTTTCCCTCCTACTGAGGAGAAAACACACGGCAGGAAGACCATCTGTCAGCCTATCCTCACAGTGGAAAACGCAGGGCTGGGAAACCTGAGGCCTGGTTTTCCTATGGCCTTTCCAGGCACTGAGCCTCAAGCCAGGAATGTTCTTTCCTCCCTCCAGAGGAGGCTGAGAGCTGGTGTCAGGCATCCAAGCCACCATCTATCACTGGACTTTCTTTCCAACACCTGATTGAAGTCAGGGTGTGATGACCAGAGATGGGGGGAGAGAATTTGAACCTGGAAGGCAACCCGTATGTATAAGGAGGGACCCTCACCCAGACCCCCAGAGAAAAGTGCCTGTCTCTCCTGTTCACAGAGGTCTTGACATTAGTGGTTGCCCCAAGCCCCCAAGCCGTAAGAACTTCAGTCATTGAGACAAGGGAGAGAGGGAGGTAGGGGTGAGGTGAGGGCCATGCCCTGAAACAGAGGGAGCACAGAATTCTCCAAGGTGCTGATGGGCAGGAGTTTCGGGGCTGAGAGTTCCTTTCCAGATTCCTCGCTACCACCGCACTGCCACCACATGGGAGAACTCCGGATGTAACCAGGTATCTGGGTTTGAGTCCGGCTCTGTCATTTACCAGTGGTTGACCTTATAGGAGTCAGTAACCCTCCCAGCCCCTCAATTTCTCCTCTCTAAAATGGAAATGGTGGCTTCTGGGCCTCAGGACTGACAGGGCCCCTGGCAGGGCGCTTGTGGACAGTACTTTGCAAAGACAAGCACCATAAAAACCAGGGTTATTACTAGTATATTCTCTCTGGGTTGTCTGGACAGACAAAATAGAAAACAATCCTGATCTTGGCTGGTAACACAGCCAAGAGGGGCTGGATTTCAAAAGGAGTCTTGCTACACACTGAGGGAAACCAAAATGAAGAACAACAAACACAGCTGCCCCCAGCCCCAGCCCACGAAACAATCAGGCATCTGAAGTTCTGGCCTCTGGTCATGCCCAGCCTGGGGCTGCTGGCCTGGCCCCTGAAGGCAGGCCAGCATCTCACACTTTTGGTGCCCCAGAGCTAAATGCTGAGTATTGTTGGTTGAAACCCCCCAAGTCCTCAGAAATCACATCTAGATCATCACAGCAGGTAAGGATTGACTCTGGGTTAATGAAATGCTCAACTTTCTTCCCCCTAAACACACACACCCATAGATGTACCCATACAGCTGTGCACACACACACACACACCAACATAGTTCTGGGGAATTCAAGCTCACTTCCTGCCCTTCAGTGACTTGACAGAATGATCTAGTCAAACCTTAACCAGTGTAATTCTATTTAATAGTTCTAATCTACCACAACCCAATCCTTGCAGCTAGTCACAGAATGACATTCTGGGGTAAGACCTTGCACCTCTAGAAGGCTCTTGTGAAGTACTGTTTGCTACCTGGGGGAATCAGTTGTTGGCTTAGCTTTATAAGTCAGCTTAGCTTATCAAATGAGCAGGGGAAGAAAGTCCTCGCACACTGGCTTTGGGAAACCTATGGCAGGAACTCCACACTGAGGAAGTCAGCTTAGGTGTGGTGGAACGCTGGAGGCCAGCCAGATGTCTGGAGGAGGAAAAGCTCTAGACTAGGAGATGGAAGATGCTGCCATGTGCTTACTGTGTGACCTTGGGCCTTGGCCTCTTTGAGACTCAGTTTCCTTGTTTCAGAGGGAGTTGTGGGGAAGCAATGAGACCATGTCTGGGCAAGACCTAAGTAAAACAATGTGCAGACGAGCCAGGGGTCCAGAGGGGCAGGGAGAATCAGGGAGGACTCTGCCTGGCACTGACCTGCGCCAGGTACCTGGGTTGCCAGCAGCAACAGCAGGCTTCAGGCAGAGGACATGGGAGGGGCTGCAGACTGAGCTTCTCCTTCCCACCCCAGGAAGGGTCACGCTGTCCAACGTGTCTGAGAGGAAGGACAACATGCGCCTGGGCCTGAGCCTGGCCACCAACCCCAAGGACAACAGCTTCCTGGTAAGACCATTCACCCACCTTCTCTCCCAGTCCCAGTGCTCCCTCCCCCTTGGGGCAGGTGGGGTGTCGGGCCAGTGGGCAAGTCCTCACACATGCGCACGCTGCACTGCGTGCTCCACCTGCTGCCTGCCTGTGCAATTCAGCAGACAGCGTCCTCCATTTTCAGGGCACAGTCGAGGCAGGACAAAGGATAAGCCCCTTTCGTCCACATACCTGCCTGCTCCTTTCCGCCATGTTTGAGTGAGCACCATGAGTTTGAGCAATGCTGGGATCCTCCGGGGACTGATACTTTCCAGAAACAGCTGTGAGAGGTTTTAGAGAAAAATTACCCCAAAAAGCTCACTGTCCATTTTAAAGAGGGCTTGGTCAATCTTCCCTCTTTTTTTTTTAAATTTTTTAAATTTTTTTATTTATTTATACAAGCACTGGGTACAGTCAGAAGCGCGGGAGGGTGAGAGAATTCACCAGGGCCAGAGTGGAGAGCAGAGCAGGCAGAAGGACCGAAGTACACTGCTGAGGGGAGCAGCGGGCGGCAGGAGAGGTCTGCATGCCATATGGGACCCTCCCCCAGTGGCCGGGGATCGAACCGGCGCTGCAGAGGCTACGGGCAGCTTCACAACCCAGCGCTCAACCGCTGCGCCACCGGGGAGGCCCTGAATCTTCCCTCTTGTCCTTCAATTCATTTCTGTTGGCAGAGGAGACATGTGGGGTGTGGAGTACCAGACACCAGGGCAAAGGGACTGGGGTGCTCAGTGACTTGAGAACATAGTGGCCCAGCCAGGGGAGTCCTGAGGTACTTGGGTCTGTGGTCTGCCCACACCTTTCATCATCCCCAACCAAGGCAAAGCAGGACCTCAAGCCTGTGCATAGACCTACCTGTCAGGGGCCTTCCTTCCTACTCGCTTGCCCTCTGAGGCTCCTTGTCACATTTCTACTAACTTGATTTCACCTAGTTCAATTTATTGGGATGGAAGTCCAAGAGGGATAGTGTAATACACCCTCAGGGGCCTCTGTTGGGTAGGTTAAGTTTAAAAATGACAACTTCGTTAGCTTATTTATTCATATATTCATCCATTCATGCATCAGTCCATCCCTAATCAATTATCCATCCTACCGCTCATCTGTCTATCCATTCATTTCTGTATCCACCCATCTGTCTATATATTGATCCACCCTCTTATCCTTCCATCTAATCAGCCATCCCTTCCTGCATCCAGCCATCATTCATCCATCATCCGTCATCTATCATCCATCCATCCGTGGTCCATCTAGCTACCTCCAGTCATCCATCACCCATCCGTCCATCATCCATAATCCAACATCCATCCATCATTTTTCTGTCTACCTATCCATCCATCATCCATCCATTCATCATCCATCAGTCCATCACTTAGCTGTCCATGCACCCAACATCCATCATGCATCCATCCAGCTAGACATCCAGCTATCGGCCATCATCCACCCCTCATTCTTTATCCTCACCCTACTTCCAAAAATAATTGATAGCACCTTCAACAAAGGACACAGATAAACAAAAACCTTTAAAATGTACATTAAATGAAAAAGAAAAATAATTAAAGAAAGGGAATGGAAGTGGAATGATCACTCCTCTAAATCAAATGAAATTACAGCCAGAATTTAGTCCTGGATTTCCTGGCTGCAGGAAAAAGACGGCCTGAAGTGGGCGTTTCTCTTTCAATGACCGATCCCGACTCTAAGAGGACATCATCATTCTGTCTTTAAGTGGGAAACTGACACCAATATTTTGGGTAATAAATTTCAGAAAAAGAGTAGGCATTCTTTTTTCTTTCCTTAGTAAGAGCCCTGGGTTGTTACCCAGACCTGGCCATTGCCCAGCAAGGACAGTGACCTCTGCAGACAGAAGAGCTGTTCTAGTGACCTGGAAAGGTCTACTCCAATGGAGGAAAAGACCCAGATCCTGTGCTGTGGGTGGGTGTGAGGGGGTGGTGAAGAAGTCACAGCCTTAAATGATATAAGAATGGGGCACTCAAATACAACAAAGGACTCTAAGATTAGTTTCCTTCAGCAAGAGAGAGTTCAGTTAGACTCGAAAGAGACCCTCTAAATCCTGAGGATACCAACACTCAGAGAATGTCTGACTTGGGTGATCCAAAGGCTCTTTGGCCTTGACCTCTCTGAGGCCCCCACTAACTAAGGATGTGCACTGTGCTCCCCAGGCCTGCAGCCCCCTCTGGTCTCACGAGTGTGGAAGTTCCTACTACACCACAGGGATGTGCTCCAGAGTCAACTCCAACTTCAGGTTCTCCAAGACTGTGGCCCCTGCTCTCCAAAGTAAGTGGCTTCAAATCTAGACTCAGGCTGAGTGGCCCACAGTCTGTGGGACACTTGGGCTCAGATCCTGGCTAGCCTGTGGCCATAAAGCAGCCTTGGACTATAGCTCTGCTCTGGCTCTCTGGGTAGCCTGGGATGATCACTTCACCTCTCTTGACCTCTGTGGCCCCCAGAGAGTGATGGGGGCGGTCAAATGAGCTAAGGTTATAAAGACAGTCCTGGGAGCCAGCGGGGTTCACTGCAAACCCACCCTGAGGTAAGACAGATTGCTGGGCGACATTATATAGTCGGGAGGTGGTTCACTGCACAACTCACTTTGGCTCAGTGTGATTATTGCCCTTTGGTGTTATGCAACAGCCCTATGGGTGGAGGGCCAGGGTGAACAGAAATGCCCCTGATGATAGTCCCATTGAACTGGTGTTCCTGGACATCAGGAAGCTCTCCCCAGCTTGCTCAGAGGCTCATGGAACACAAACACCCTGCCTCCCGCCCCACCTGCCAAGAAAACCTGGGGAGTAATGCTCAGACCCCACCTTCTGCAAGCCCAGACTGCTTGGCTCTGAGCCTCATGATTTCCTCTGGGCTAAATACCATGGCCCAAGCAGCTGTGCCAGTTTATTGAGGGTGCGGGGATTAGCACCTCTGGCTAGCCAGCAGTTTCCTGCAAACAAGACCCAGTCATGGAGATGGAAAATAGTGCTTGGGGAAGGGAGGGGATACCTCAGGCCAGGAGGGCTGGCAAGTGGTCTCTAGCCTGATGAGGAGGTGTTAGTTCTAGTCACACAAAAGACAGTGCCTAGTGAGGGGTCGGGGAGGGGGGGGGCGGTACGTGGGTAAGGGAGGAGGCAGTCCATCACATGAGGTGTCCATAAGGGAACATCACCACCCCTAGGAGCAAGGGCTGACCATCTTCAGCCTCCCTGGGGTGGTGATGCCCTCCCCTGGGCAAACAGCAGCAGTATCATGCGAGTTTGTCAGGCAGATCCCAGGGCACCCTTCTCCCCTGGGGAGGTTCTAATTCAGTAGATCTGGAACAAGCCCAGAGTATGAGTGTGTGACGTGGTATCTTCAGCCTTATTTAGGAACCACGCATCTAAAATAAAGTTTTTCCCAAGGTATCTTCTTGAAAGGGAAACTCTGATATTGTAAAAAACAAAAAAAACAAACAAAAAAAAAAAAAAACCCATCTCCACCATAATAATGCATTCACATAAAACTGGTTTCCAAATAAAAGAAAACTGGTCTCTACCACCAGATCAGAAGCTCCTCCCAATCTGTCTGGGTCACCTCCGTGGCCCTACCACACTAGGTCTGTGCTCAGCCAACCTGGGTGAGGATAAAGCTACCAAGTGTCACAGCCTGTCACGAATGTCTGCACCACTTGCCCTATAGCAGAAGTGACTGACTGTCCAAGTCACTAAATGCTGCTCAAATGCTCTATCAAACACAAGCCTGCCTCGGGCACCCGGGCCCAGGGCTACCACCTTCTTCCCTCAGTGGGTCTGACGTCCATGTGCAGCACCTTCACGAGGCAGGGCTTCCTGCGATGTTTGACACACCTAAGGCTCCTGCCTGTTGCTGTAAAGTTGATTTTATAACAGTGTGAAAATTCGCCTATAAAAATGAACAGAGGCCCCATAGTCCAATATACTCTAATATAATATAATATAATACAAACTATATCACATCACATTTCAAAGTAACCCCAGTTGCTCACAAAGAGAAATAAATTACTTAGATTTTAAAAGAAATTTTTTACATTTGTTATGGTACCAGTGTTTCTTGCATTTTCTTCGTTGGTTTTCATCATTCTCTTTAGTTTAATATCGATGTGACGAGAACATAGAGAAACCCTGTAGAAATAAAGAGCAGAGATAAAGGAGCAAAAACTTGACCCGATCATGTCATTGCCACAGTCCAAAGCAGTTAAAAGACAGAAAATCGGATCAGCTCAGAGAAGCTTCATCTAGTCCCTTCCCCACAGCACTCCTGCAGCACATGCCTGCCTCCCTCAGAGAGAATACTGGTGCTGACAGGCTAAGTGACTTGCCCAAGGTCAAAGCGAGGAGTTAAACATTCTGTTGCCAGATTCCACATTCCTAGTCGTTACACCACTCCGCCCTCCTAAAAAGTAAAACCTCTTCATTGGGGCTGAAGGAGGGAACCTCCAGCCTGCCCCTTACAGTAAAACAGGTGATAAGGTTCTCCTCTGGGCAGGATGGTTGCCTCAGAAGCACTGACCGGCGCATGGAAGTCAGTCCCTGAGGAAGAGCAGCAGGGGTCAGGCTTAATTTCATTTGTATTCAGACAGCCAGCACAGAGTGGAGGAGCAGAGCCAGGAACGGCTGAGCTCGTCATCCCTGCTGCCCCAATAAATGTCCAGCCCAAGTATAGCCCCCCAACATGGGTAACTACACACGTCATGACACACATATAACAGGGTCCTTTTTCCGGTGTCCTTTGGACAATCATCTGGAGATTGACACTGGCTTCTAGGGTAGCCATGATCATGTCCCCACTTCCCAGGGTGCCAGACATACATGGACATCGTCATTGTCCTGGACGGCTCCAACAGCATCTACCCCTGGGTGGAGGTTCAGCACTTCCTCATCAACATCCTCAAGAAGTTTTACATTGGCCCTGGGCAGATCCAGGTGAGTGTCTCTGAGACTCTTTTCTCCTCTGAACAGGGCTCCCAAGCCCAAGGTTGATACTCACTGGGATCTGGGGGAGCATCGTTGCTTACACTAAGAAGGTGTGGGTGAAAGCCAGCACCACGTCCTGCAGCCCAGGACACCCACCTCTACTGGTGGATCAGGGACAATTTAGGGCAGACATACCAAGTAAGAAAGACTGAGGGCCTCCCCAGGGGCGCAGTGGTTGAGCACAGTGCTGTGAAGCTGTCCGCAGCCTCTGCTCTCAGGTTCAATTCCCGGCTGGCCAGGGAGATTCCCACATGGCGTGGCAGACCTCTCCTGTATCGTCCACTGCTCCCCTCAGCAGTGTTTTCGGTCATCTGCCTGTTCTACTCCCCGCTCTGTCTCTGATGAATTCTCTCACTCTCCTGCACCTCTGGCCTGTACCCCAGCTCTTGTATAAATAAAAAAATAAATCTTTAAAAAAAAAGACTTTGACCTGCTAGAGAGTAGAAGGGAGGCAGAGAGGGCTGATAGACCCGCTGAGGGAAGGACAAGGCTCACTGATTTTAGATCATCACTGCCAGCTAATATGTGAAACACCGCCTGGCTAAAGAGGGGGGTCAACTTATTCCATATTCTTTTGGTCCTAAATGAGGACAAAGAGCTGAAAGTTACCTGGGGGGCAGATTTCAAGTCAACCTAAGAAATTATTTTATAACAATTAAAGCCATCAAAAGGGAGTGGGCTTTCTTATGAAGTAATGAGTTTCCCCACTGGAAGAGCATCTTTTAGGCAATGGTGGGGAAAAGTCCAGCATTAGCAATGCCCCACCAACAATTAAACTCTTCAGGGCTGTCCAAAGATTAACATTTTATCATTCTACTCCTGCTATAGGTCTATAAGGGGTTTTGTTTATTTTGAAGCTATTAGTGTTGATATTTTATCCAACCTCAGGATCAAAGTTCTCTCCCAAGATTTAAGGAACCTTCATTCCAGAGCTTGGTTGGCATTGGCCCTCTACCCAGGCTGTTCCTAGTATTTTAGACTTCAATATTCTAGGCTCAACTTTTGTCTTTTCAAAAGAATAATTTAATCTGTTGGGCCTATCTTTAAATCACTGTCTCCTCTCTCAACATGTGGGAGGTCCCACTTGTCTCCCCAAACCATCCATTCATTCCCAGAACTTTCTAGATCCTGCTTTCCTGCAGTTTAGTTGCTGTCCCTGGGAAGAGCTCAGTCCTTCTCCCTTCTGAACAGTCGCAGACAGAAATGACTTGGGGAGCCTCCCCCCGCAGGTCTGAGGGTCAGGGCGTAAGCTGCTCTGTTAGCCTCTCCCCTAACTTGCAGGTTGGAGTCGTTCAGTACGGAGAAGACGTGGTCCATGAATTCCACCTCAATGACTACAGGTCTGTAAAAGATGTTGTGGAAGCTGCCAGCCACATTGAGCAGAGAGGAGGAACAGAAACCCGGACTGCATTTGGCATCGAATTTGCTCGGTAAAAAAAGATAAATCTCAAATACTATTCTACTATACATTGTCATGTAACAAACTGCTGCAGAATTTAATGCCTTGAGACAATCATTTATGAGTCCCTCAAAATTCTGGGCACTGGCTGGGCTCAACTGGTCAGTTCTCTTGGGTTTTCTCATGTGGTTGAAGTCCCCTATAAATGGCTATCCCCAGAAGTTTCCACTGGACTGGCATCCCAAGTGGCATGCTCACATGATAGCAGTTGGTGTTGCTGTGGCTGGGAGTTTGGCAGGAGCCAGGCGACCTGAGCACCCACAGGCTTGGGTTTTTCACCACGTGGCAGCTGGGCTCTGAGTGGGAGTGTCCCAACGATGGGTTTCCCGAGAGACCCCAGTGGGAGCTGCCACACTGCACATTACTGTGCCTCAAATTCCCGGAATACAACTTCCGCCTCATTCCTCAAGTCAGCGAGGCCGGCCCAGACACAAGGGGTCAAGATTGTGTGTCTGTTTAGCGGGGAGGAATAGAAGGTCACATTACAGAAAAATATTTGGGATTAGGATGTTATTGCAGCCAACTTTGAAAATTCACTCTGCCACACAGACCCTATAAAAAGCCTGTCAGTTCTACGAGGGCAGAATCTTCTTGTAGCACATTTATCATCGATGGAGTGTGAAGAGCATAGTGAAATCTGCATGTGTGATGGTAGCGTGATGAGGTTGGCTCCTTAAATCACAGCAGAACTCACGCAGATGACTCTGTGCTGACCCCGCTGCTTGGAGCTTGGGGCTCACCCTCACTGACCAGTGGCTCTAAAGGTGACTCCCCACGTTCTTTCAGGCTGAGTCCTGCCTGGCCTGCTAAAAGTCCAGGCTGACTATGACAGAGGCATTTCCATTTTTAATATACAAATTGTACACTTACGAATATGAATTCTGCTTGTGCCCACAGACACCACAGTCCCTGTTACCTTATAATCCCCCCTCACAGAGGGCTAGTCAATGTGTTTAACAGAATTCCACAATATGCCAGCTATTTAATAGTAGCATGATTTCATGTGGTCAGAAGATTAAGTTTTTCCAACCTCATAATTAAGTTTACTGTTTCACTAACATATTTCTGTTTGCTGATAAAACGTGCTCAAGTTGTTTCTAAAAGGGCATTCCTCCAAGTCCTGATGTCTCTTACTCAGCCTCACAGAGAAGGGGCCATTTTGTGTTTTGCCATTATTGGGGTGAGCCCCTGAGACTCCCAGCAGGCTCTTGTGAAATGATTGAGGAGATGCCCCCCCCACCCCTACCCCACCCCCATGCCCTGTGCCTCCCCCCCCACCCCCAAGCTATGGCTTCCTCTGTGCACGGAGTCAGCTATGGCTGACTCCAGCACGCAGGGCAGCGCCCACTGCGTTGGTTTCATTTCACAGTCCACCAACCCCAGGTCCATTCCAAGTGTGTGACTCACCAGGTAATTTGAACTGTCCCTGACTCATGAGCATGCTGAGGTTTGCAGTCTGTAGCTCAGGTGCAGTTTGAAATCAGATCCTCTCTGCCTGCCAAGTTCTGGTCCTAAATTACAGCCAGAGCCTTTGAAGGAGAAAGGTTTCCTCTCCCCACTCAGTGATTCCTGACGTATCATCTCCTGTTAAAGGACAAAGATATGGGCCGTGAACTTCTTTTTTTTTTTAAAGATTTGTTTATTTATGCATAGAAGAACTGGGGTACAGGCCAGAGGTGGGGGGGCATAAGAGGAGTCACCAGAGACAGAGTGGGGAGCAGAACAGATGGACTGACTGAAATACACTGCTGAGGAGAGCAGTGGGCGAGACAGGAGAGGTCTACTGCACCATGTAGGTAGCTCCCTGGCTGGGGATCGAACTCGTGATGCAGTGGCTGCAGACTTCACAGTGCTGAGATTTAACTCCTTGTGCCACCAGGGAGGCCCCCAGGCAGTGAACTTCTATGGGGGGAAATGGAGCACAGTAAAGGCATCAGGCAGGTCATCGGCAGAGTAGTCAGGAAAGGCTTCACTGAGAGCTGCTATATGAGTAGGGTCTTCTAGGATAAGGGAGTTGTCCAAGCAGTTATCTGGAGCAGAGCTTCCTGCAGGGGGCAAAGGGGAAGCTCAGACCAAGACCCTAAAACATGAGTTTGCCTGGTTCCACCATCAACAAAGAGCCCAATGTGAGTGAATGGAGGGGAGCAAGTAGGAAATCGACTCAGTGGAATGACAGGGCCAGGTCAGGACCTGAGAGAAACAGGAGCCAGAGCAGGTTTTGAGCAGACAGGAGACATGAGGTGATCTGCTTTTCCACAGGATTCCCCTGGCTTCCAGGTTTATGGAACCTGTTGTGAGTATAAAGCTCTTGCTGCTCTAAAAGAATTTAAATGTGCTCTACAAGGGGACAAGTCCAAGCCTTTTATACAATACAAATCACAAACTACAATCTCGGGGCTCATGCCAATTTTCACCCTATTACAGACTCACACAGATAGTCATGCTATTCCACTCTGTGAGATACAATCCTGACATTTTTCTTGGTTCTAATGTGCAGCTGGGTGTTTGAACCACTAACGTAGCATTTGTAACAGTCTCCAGATCAGACACTGAACTCTCCTCCCAGACCACCCCCATCCTCTCTCCGCAACAGGGTCAGAACCCTCAAGGGTCTTGATTAAGTCACCTCCTAAAGACAATGTCTCCCCCCCACCCCACCCACCACCACTATACCTATTTGCATAGAGTTTGTTCCTGGGGTTGACTCTCCAGAAAGGTCATAAAAGCATCTAGAATCTCCTTTAAGGGGCTAGCAGAGTTCTTCTTCCACTGGGTTTGGTTTAAGCCCCCACATGTTGAGTGTACCACTCTTCAAGTCCACGGCTCATACTAAAATTGGAGAGCTTTTAGGAGCTGGCCCATCCTAGAACATCAGAGAGCTGCTAGAGAATGGCAGATGGGCTGTTTCTCTTGACTGGTAATTTGAAGATGCTCTGAACTAATTTATTCCAGGCTTTGTGAATTTCTCCACCTCGCAGTCATACACAGCAGCTCCTGAGCTTCCCATGTAACAGGAGGTACCACTGGCAGCCAAAGCTTTGGGGTCAGAGACAGCCTTAACCTGGCATTGGGGAGCTTGAGTTTGTGGCCAGGAGCTCAGAGCCTAAGGGTAATTCTTTATATCCTTATTGAAAAATTCTACCTGTTGGACCAGACTCTTGGCCGACTGTATCTGTACTTTTCAGAACCTCATGATCTGAAGGATGGCTGGCCACAGAGACACCAAGAGCCAATGATGGCCCAGGAGCCAGCTTTTGTGCTTCTTAGATGAACTGCCAGCTACAAGAGCCTGCCCACCACGTCGCGGGGCAGTGTGCCAATACCCTTCCACCCCAACACCCCCTACCCCCAGCCCCTGGCTGGATTGTCTAACAGGCAAGCCAAGCTCATGCTCTGAGCACTGAAAAAAAATTAAAAGTGAGAAAGGGAAATATTTGTCATAGAATTTGATATTTAATAGTTCCCCAAATAGAATCAAATTGTCCTCATGAGAAAAATCAGGATTTTGTCAGTTTCATGGACTAGTATTGTTTGGATGCTGAATTACTCCAGCCTGTCACCTTTTCAGTATTTAAGAAAGTGGTCCCCAACTCTATGTCCACTGAACTTCTGAAAAACACCGATGCCCAGGCCACACCTCGGAGATCCTGATTTCCTGAGCCAAGGTGGGGTGTGGGCAGTGCTTTCTTTCAACTCCCCAGATGATTCTAATGTACAGCTGGGTGTCAGAACCACTAACTTAGCATTTGTAAAGGTCTCAATCACATACTAAACTCTCCTCCCAGACCCACCCCATCCTCTCTCCACAAAAACAAGGTCAGGCTCCTAGATAGACTTTTTAAAGTCACTTTCTTTTTTTTAAAGATTTATTTTATTTATGCACACAAGAGCTGGGGTATAGGCCAGAGGTGGGGGGTATAGTGGGGGCTGGTGGTGAGAGGATTCATCAGGGACAGAGTGGGGAGCAGAACAGCCAGATCTACTAAAATACGCTGCTGAGGGGAGCAGCAGGTGAGACAGGAGAGGTCTGCTGTGCCATGTGGGTATCTCCCTGGCCAGGGATTGAACTCAGGCCACAGTGGCTGGCAATAGCTTGATATTGTTGATATTTTAACCCCTGAACCACCAGGGAGACCCTTTAAGGTCACTTTTTAAAGACAGGCAGATACCAGACACACCGGTGCCCACTACTGGGCAGTAGAATAGTTTCCACTCGGGTCTGAGGTCCCAATGCTTGTTGAATTGCCTGGTTTCTGGGGCTACCCCCTTCCACCTCCCTCATGTGCTCCTCCCCTGTGCTTGGATTCCAGCTCAGAGGCTTTCCAGAAGGGTGGTAGGAAAGGAGCCAAGAAAGTGATGATTGTCATCACAGATGGAGAGTCGCACGACAGCCCTGATCTGGAGAAGGTGATCCAGCAAAGCGAGAAGGACAACGTGACCAGATACGCAGTGGCCGTGAGTCTTGTCCCACCCCTCCTGCTCCCTCCCCCCACCACCTTCTAGAGGCTGGGTCAGCAAACCCGTACAGACTCCCAGAGGGCGTCATCTGGGCAGTGAGCAAGCTGCCAGGTCCTTGGATGGGCTGCTCCTGTTTTATTCACTCCTAAAGAGTAAGTGTAGAATCTGCCCTGCCCGGTGCTATCCACAGCAGTTGTGGGGGAGTCCTCCAGTGCCAGGGAGGTTCTGAATCCTCAGAAAACTTCAAACACCACCATTCTCCCAACCCCAGAACCCTGTCTTAGAACAGAGAGCTTATACAAGACAATCTGTTTCAAAATGCAAGTGGGTCTTCAGCCCAAGGCTGCCAAGACAGAGGCTCTTGTCCATCCCAGGGTGCCCAGATCAGGGGCAGAGGGGTGTATGAGGGAGTCTGCAGTAAGTCCGGGTTTGTTGTCCCTGCCCCTATTCCCTGGCAGGTCCTGGGCTACTACAACCGCAGGGGAATCAATCCAGAAACTTTTCTCAATGAAATCAAGTACATTGCCAGTGATCCCGATGACAAGCACTTCTTCAATGTCACTGACGAAGCGGCCCTGAAGGACATTGTCGATGCCCTGGGGGACAGGATCTTCAGCTTGGAAGGTAGAGGACACATTCCAAGACGGGATTCATGCTCCTGGGCTCACAGAGCAAAATCCAATCCCAAACAACGGAATGGCTTAGAAGGAGTCACCCTTTCTAATAAATGCCAACCCTTGAATGTTGCTCTGTGCTGGGCATGAGCTGTGACCTTCACCCACCGCCCCCAAAGATGGCTTTATCAATAGTCTTCTCCTTTGACCACTGAGGTAGCTGAAACCCAAAGGAGTGGCTTTCCCAAGCTCCCAAAGCTTCGGAGGGAGCTGGGTTTCACAGTGATATGAAAGTTCATGGAGACGTTAAATGAGGGTTGCCAGATTTAGCAAATATAAACTACAATATTTGTGGCAGGCATATACTAAAAAATTCTTCATTGTGTGTCTGAAATTCATATTGAACTGGGCGTCCTATTTTTGTCTGGCAACCCTGGTGTGAACCCAGCTGGGCCCGCCTCCAAAGCCTGAGACACTTAATCCCACCAAGAGCACTTCTGGCAGGGGATCCTCCCATGGCTCTCTCCTCTTGACTTAAGCTCCAGTTTGGACTTGCACGGATCTCACCTGGCCTGTGGATTGCTTTGAGGGGGCCCTTCCACTCACCTACACCCTGGATGCTTTGAGGGGGCCCTGTGGGGATTGTCGAAAGACAGAGAAGCTGTATCCCCAAATCTCAGAAACCTGCAGAGCACTAGAAATGATGAGCTGCTGACACACAAAAGAGGCAAAAACAGGCCTCCAAACTAGGATGAAAGATTAGAAAGTATGAACCTGCATTTGACACGCACACTAGAGCTTGAATACGCACATCAGTGCACTTCTCGAAATGGTCGTGAGGGGGGTGGTGGTGAGAACTTTGGCTCCAGGGACCTGCTCCAGGAGGCCCTGGGGGAGGCCCAGCAGGGGGGCAGGGAGGGCTCCATACACTCAGGGATCTCCCCTGAGGACCAATTTGATGTTTGGGAACCATCCAGAGGCATCTGGAACTAAATCCAGTGACTATCAGGGATGAACATAGTGGGAAAGTCCACTTGCTGCCAAGAATGTAGGCTTTCTTCCCCCACGCTTCTCTCCCCCTGATTGCGAAGGTCTTGCAGCACACATGCCCTATCACTCGCCCCAGGCCCTGCTCAGCAGTGAGTGGACGGCTAACGACAAGCCCACGGGCTCCTGGGAGAGGTGTGGCGTCTCCCCAGGCAGCTGCGGCCGGGAGCGGGGTGGGGGCAGCAGGGGCTGATGCGCTGTGGGGCCCAGGTGCAGGACACACGGGGCGCTGGGGCGTGAGCGGCAGTTGTGCCTGTGGCTAAGCAGGCAAGCCTGGAACTGATATCCTTCCTTCCCTCTCTTTTAGGCACCAACAAGAACGAAACCTCCTTCGGGCTGGAGATGTCACAGACGGGCTTCTCCTCCCACGTGGTGGAGGTCAGTGCCTGTCAGAGTCGCCCTCCCACGCGCTCCCTCTTCCAGCCCTCTCGGCCATCTTCCTGCCTCTCCTGGGCTGCCTCAGCCCCACTTTCTTTCTTGCAGGCTCTCTGCCTCCCATCTTCTGAGGCTGACAATGGCTGACAATGGCTGAGGCTGACAGCTAGAAGTTGTCTCAAGCCCTTTACCCAGGGAATGAGCAATATATCACAAAGCCACCCTCCCTGGGCCGGGATTCCGAGGGGGGCGTTTCTCCCCAGGACCAAAGACACGTTCAGTTCCCACAGCCTTGGGCACACACGAGGACAGCTTGGCAAAAGCAACTGCACACACCCTGATAATGCAGGTGCTTCCGATGTGGCCAGCAGTATATGGGCACAGCTATGCACCAACGGTGGGAGGGTGTCCAGATGTGCCAGATGTGTTCCGGCATGGGGCCCATGTGCGCTCCCTCTCTGTGGAAGCAGCATCAGATTGCAACAGTCCCCAGTGTGTGTGTGGTGTCACAAGCAGCAGGTCGCTGTCCCTCACTCCTCCTGGTACCAGTTCAGAAGATGGGGCTGAAACCTCACCAGGTGCCAGAGGGGCGGAGAGTTGAAGCTTCTACAAACTATATAAAGGGTAGAACCCTGTGTGGGAGCACCATAGGCAGAGAGCCCACTTGTGTTAGGATAGCAACAGTGCCATGAGCACTGGCCCCCTGGGCACACTTTAGACAGACAGACATCCTAATGTGTTTGTTCTACCCAGGCTGGAACCTGGCAGCATACTTGTGCCTCCTACTTTGCCAGAAAGTCCTATGAGTCCATCCTACACATAGATCACTTTCATTATCCTGATGAATTCTCCCAACTCCCCCGTGAAGAAGTCGGGCACAGAGAGAGGCAAGAGCACCAGTTTGCACAGGTCAGGCAGGGAGGCACAGTCTCTAGAAGCACTGGCCCCCATCTCCTGGCTCTTGGATCAGGATTTATTAGAATATACAACAAGGTATTCAAGTTAATTGAATGCTACAAGCATTGTCAAATACAATTAAGGTACCAATGGGTACCAAAGGATCTGGAAATTACTTTTGCCACTAGGAATCAACAAGCAAACTTCAGCTCTGAAAGCAGAAAGACACTGTAGATCCCTCCAAGGTAAATTGTACAGCTTCAGGAGGCTGCCCGTGCACAGAGTCTCTGTGAAGACCCCCGGCATGGGGAGCCCCATGCACCCAGTGCTAACCAAGGCAGCGTGTGTCGGGGTCATACAGGAGAGGCCCAAGCTGGGGAAAGGTCCTTAGGGGAGTCTCTGGGGTGGCAGTCATGGCAGACTCCTGAATGACAAGGATTCCCTTAGCTTTGGGTGACCACGAGCAGAGGGAATTGTGTGCACACCACTGGGAGGAATCAGAACCCCTTGGGGCCAGCTCTGATTTCCCAGCAGTAGAAAGAAGGAAGGTCCCACATCTCCTTCATTCATTCTATAATCATGTTTTGAGCATCTCCCCTTGTGTCAGGCCCTGGGGATATATAAATAGGTGGAGATCAAGGTAACATTTCAGCTGACAATGGCTCTTAGTCTAGTTCAGAAGACTTAAATAATAATTCCCTCTTCTGCTTCGAGTGCAGCCATCTATGTATTCCCAGGAGCCAGGGAACTTAAAGAGAAAAGGAGGCTAAGACGAGCTTCAGGGATTCAGGGACACCTGAGTGGACTTTAAAAATGGCCCAACCAGTAAGAGGTGTCCTTATAGGGGCAACTGAGTCCCCCTGTTGCAGGGAGAGACCAAGAACTCAAACCCTAGCTTGCTATTTAGGTCAAGGTCACCTGCAGTTTCTTCCACAAACCACATACTTTACTGTGTCCCTAGTTGGAGAGACCAGGGTGCCTCTTCCCATCCTATACAGACCCCAGTATTCCTATAACCCCCTTGTTTTCAGGGGACAGTCACCTGGAAGTTTGTATCTACTAGGATTTGTCAAAAGATGATGACTACGTTTGAATCTGAGACTCTTTAATATTTATTTATTTTTTTAATTAATAAATTTTATTTTTATATTCCCCATACAATTGCAATCCCCCCATTCTGACCCCAATCCCTCCCCTCCCGCCCCCCACCCCCCAAAAAGTGTCTCTGGTTCATAGTTTTTGTTGATTTTGATTTTCACTTTCTTAAAGTTATTCATTTTCCTGGTCCCTTATTTAAGTTTTCTAGATTCCTGCTATGAGTGAGACCATCTGGTATTTTTCTTTTTCTTTTTGGGCTTATTTCGCTGAGCATGATCCCTTCCAGCGCCATCCATGTTGCTGCAAATTGCATGTGTTTATCTTTTTTGAATGCTGAGTAATATTCCATGGTATATATGTACCACATCTTCTTGATCCAGTCATCTATTTTTGGGCATTTGGGCTGTTTCCAAAGCTTAGCTATTGTAAACAGTGCTGCTATAAACATAGGGGTGCAGGTGTTCTTTGGAATTGATGTTTCTGTGTCCTTTGGGTAAATACCTAGGAGTGGAATTGCTGGATCATATGGAAGCTCTATGTTTAGTAGGTCCAGAAATCTCCACACAGCTCTCCACAGTGGTTGGACCAGTTTGCACTCCCACCAACAGTGCAGGAGAGTTCCTTTTTCTCCACACCCTCGCCAACATTTGTTGTTGCTAGTTTTTTTAATATGTGCCATTCTCACTGGTGTGAGATGGTATCTCATGGTAGTTTTGATTTGCATTTCCCTGATTGCAAGTGATGTTGAACATTTTTTCATATGCCTGTTGGCCATTCGCATTTCCTCTTCAGAGAAGTTTCTTTTTAGCTCCTCTGTCCATTTTTTGACTGGATTATTTTCTTTGTTGTTGTTGGAGACTCTTTAATATTTAAAAAGCCTTCCAAACCCCAGGGAATGGTGCAGTGACAGTGGGCTGTCTCGCACCATGACTGAATGTTGGGTTGCTATTTTAGCACACAGAGGCTTTTCTTTTTTTTCTTTTTTTTCTTTTTTTTTAGATTTATTTACTTATTTATACAAGCACTGGGTACAGTCAGAAGCGCGGGAGGGTGAGAGAATTCACCAGAGCCAGAGCGGGGAGCAGAGCAGGCAGAGGGACCGAAGTACACTGCTGAGGGGAGCAGCGGGCAGCAGGAGAGGTCTGCGCGCCATGTGGGACCCTCACCAGGTGGCCAGGGATCAAACCGGCGCTGCAGAGGCTGCGGGCAGCTTCGCAACCCAGCACTCAAACACTGCGCCACCGGGGAGGCCCACACAGAGGCTTTTCAATGCCCACCTCCGATGCCATCATAACGGCTGTAGCCATCCTTCCTGGGAATCCAGCTCTGAACTTGTCAGGGTCGTTCAGTCCTCTGAGGTCAGGGGCAGGGGGTCTAACCTTAACGTTGCTAGATCTTAGCGCAGGTCATGAGCCCGAGGGACTCCATCTCCTGGGCAAGGTCCCGGCTCTACCCCCAGCGCAAGTGCTCCAGAGACTACTGTTTCCTGCAAATGTGCTGGAGGAGACTTCAGCTTCCCTGGGTCTGTTTAGCTATGAAAGAAGGAAAGGTCCCTGCTCCTGAGGGAGGAATGTTCTCAAATGGCAGAGGAGAGGCCCAGCTCCTCTCCTGCTCTGCTGCTTTCTCATCTGGCAAGGCAACCAGGCTTCAAGTTAGGAAGGGTGAAAGCAACTAAAGGAAGAAGAGACAGAGCCCAGGGCAGGGGAGGAGATGCCGAGACATCACCAGGCCAACCAAAGACCCAAGGCCCCAGGCTGCAGGTACTGCTTCCCAGATGGATGCTTGATTGGGTCAGATCCACTAGGGAAATGTAGGGAGCTGGAGCCATTCCAGGAAACTCTATTCCTGATTTGCAAAAAAAAAAAAAAAAAAGGGGGGGGGCGGGGGAGAGAGAGAGAGATACCATAGAAATTACCATTAGGAAAATAAGCTGTAGATCCCTGGTCACATTCTAGAATGTATTTTCAGCCAATGCTTCCATTAACGATTAGAGAAATGAATGCAAAGTTCACTAAGAGCTGGAATGGCCTCTGTAGTCCTAGCTGACTCCTGAGGTGGTGAGCTCCCTGTCAAGCTGGGTAATCAGGAAGAAGCTGCAGGAATCTGCTAGAAATCTTGCAGAAGAGACCCATATCTCCTAGGGGAGAATGGACTCTACGAGGTCACGAGGGGAAGGTGTGGAGGAAGGAGGAGGACTATAAATAATAGATGCCGTTGGTGACGGATGGAGGTGCTGGGCAGCCCCTCCTGCATGAGGGCTCAGTGGGCAGAATGGCACATGGACCCTCCTACACTGCAATTCATAAATCTCCCCGGAGCTGAGTTTATTAAAGGAAGCAGTTTTATGGGATGAATCTTGTCTACACAAAATCCTTGGTGACTCACCCAAGATAGGAAGAGATCATTTTTCCTTCAACCTCCATGTGACGATGGGGAGGACCAGCCTTCAGTTACATTAGAAGCAGATCAAGAGCAGGAGCTTCCTACCTCCCAGACGCGCCACCCCAGTCTCCCTCCTGCCCTTCCCCAGGGCCCTCCTGGACTCGTGGACTGGACAGCTAAGGTTCTTAGCAGTTGAGTCCTCAGAGCTGCAATCTTCCCTAAGAGTTTACATCTAGTTTTGCATATCTAAGTGAATCAAAAATGAAGAAACTAATCTACAATGGTGAAAGGTGGGGTTGGTACCTAGACTCTAAACCCCTCCTGCGCTCCCCATAATGCTAAATGTTGAACAACTGTAGCTACCAGTTAGGGCAGGCCGTCAGGGCTGTCCCAGGGCCGCAGCCCATGAGGTCAGGACGTGGTAGCCAAGGTCTACTGGCTCGCTAGCCTGGATTATTTGCAAATTGACTCCTGGTGGCAAAATCATTCCCAGTTCATTTGGGTCCCCCTAAGCCCTGCCCGTTGTCTTCGGCTGTGCCCTGGTGCCCAGCGCCCTCTCCTGGGCCTCATTCCCAGGACCTCTGAGCCCTGCAATCTGGAATGCAATCTAATTTGGTGAACCCCTTACCCTTCCCCACTCTCCTCCCTGCCCCCCAACCCCCACCCCCCACTCCCCCATCCCACCTCACCCCACCCCACCCCGGCCCCCAGCTGCCAGAGCTGCCTGCAGTGAGGGCTCCTCTCCATGGAAAGTTTGAGAGGCCATTTCTGGGTCTTTCCCTCCTAAACCTCCTGCTCTCATCCCTTCTTCAGGCTCACTTTGAGCTTGAAAACAAGTCTTCTAGGGATAAAATCCAAGCAACTAGTTAGGAAAGCACAACCTTCCCGCTTAGTGATGTGTTTGCCTTAGAAGGGGTTCTGGGGAACAGAACCCTGCCCACCCCCGGGCAGTCACGCTGACAATGGACACTCGGGCAGAGGGAGCCGTGGGGAGCTTGGAGGAGGAGGATAGCTCAGCGCCCTCTAGGGCCTCCACCAGGGCACAGGGCCACTGCAGCCACCCCCACCTGCCGCCACCGCTCTGCCTCTCCCATGCCGAGAAGAGGGGCTGGCATCTGGGTGCTAACTCCCCTACTGCCGGGCAAGAGGAAAGCGCTGCCTGGCTGTATGGCATCAGACAAGTCACGTAACCTCAGTCCTTGAGTAGATGTCTGAAAAATATTTGTGGAAGTGAATCTTGAGGCTTGGAACTGAAAGTGTTCATTGTGAGACTTACTGATAAACCAAATAAGGTTTTCTTAGAATCCTCTCCTAATCCAGGGTGTGCCCGCCCTCTCCCTGGACAGCCCGTCCTGGGGGTGTCCGTAGGCGTCCCTTGCCTCCATGAGGGCACTTCTCATGGGCTGTGTCAACTCATCTGTAGCACCTGCTGGACTGTTAGATTTGATTTGTCTTTGATTCCCGCCTCCCTTGGAGCGCTTGATGGGGGAATTAATGAATGAGAAGAGCTGCTATGGGCCTGGTATGTATTGGTTGGCAAGTGCCATGCTAAGAATTAAAAATGCTAATTCTCAGTTACAGCTGAGGAACATGAGACTGAGTGGGGGGGTGTCACGTGCCCATGATCACACAGCTAGAAGCACTGGAGCAGGAATTAGAACTCAGGAATGTCTGACCGGAGTTCGTGCCATAACCATCAGGCCATGGAGTCTCAACCTTGGCCCCACCAATGTTGAGGTGGGATGGTCCTTGGCTATTCACATCAGTGTCAGCAGCATCCTGGCCTCCACCCACCAGATGCCACAGCAGCCCCATGCCACCCCCAGCTATGACAACCTAAACTGCTTCCAGGCATTGCCAAATATTGCCTGGGGGCTCGCCCTCCCCTACTTGGTAACCACTGCCCTGGAATGCTTCCAGGATGTGACCCGACTTGGGACTTGGACTGGATAGAACATGGAATTTGGGGAGACATGGTCCCTGCCTGGCCCAGGAGCATTCAGCTAGGCAAGACAGCTGCAGAGGCCAGGCGGGAGGGCAGTTAAGAGCTGAGCTGGCAGGATCTGACTGTGCGTGCTGGAATCCAGTGAATGTGGGTACAGGTAGTCCTCAGGGAGGGTCTTGGACCTTCTAAGGACTGCCAAGCTTGCATCTTCATTTCTGCACAGAGCAGCAGAGAGTCATCTTCCCAGGGCCCCCCAGGCACTCTCTGATAATATTGCCTGGGGAACCATATGGCCCCTCCAGAAAGAGGCTACAAATCACGGATCTGGTACCAGCTTGGAGGGTGGGTTGCCACTCCTCCCCAGAGTGCTCTGCTCTCCATCTTCCAGCTGGGCCTGCACGCCTGGATTCCTCTGTTAAGACTTTGGCCCTTTCTGCAGCCCCACCCTTCCAGATTTTTTTTTTCAAAACTCAAAATGCCTGGGCTCCCCCACCTGGGAAAAGATTGCAATACACTGAGGTTTGTTTTTGCTTTATATCTGTGGGGAGAGGGTATGCTTTGCTTACTCTCTGGGCCCACAGTGCAGCCTGTCCTCAGTGGGGCTTTCCCTGGATCCCAACAGACCCTCTAAGGAAAGGGCCTCCACTGAGGGCCTGGGCCTGCCACCACACTCCCAGGGTGAAAGGACACCATGTGCCATTGCCCAGCCTAGTGCTGCCAAGTCCAGAGGCCCCCATGCAGTTGCCACACCCCACATATGGGGAGTCTCAGCCTCCCCTACTGAACCCAGGCCCCTGGGTAGAGGAGCCCCTCTCCGTATATCACAGAAGCGTCAAGTCATCTGCAAAGCCAGAAATTCTTTAGAGGAACATTCCGTGAAGCCAAAAAGCCTGGTCTGCAGTTACAAACTTGAACTCAGCAGGCAGAGAGAGGGAGGGAAGGAAGAGAGAGAGGCAAAGCCCAGACATTACCCTCCTCCTACGGGGGTGCTCAGACAGAAAATCAAAACACAGTCCAGACTTCCAGGAAGCGGAGGGCATTTTCCTCTACCGAGACCGCCCCCCAGCCCTGCCTCTGACTTACTGGGTGTCCTTGGGCAGTCACTTTCCCTCTCTGAACCTTGAACGCTCGTTTGTCAAGCGCAGATAATGAACTTCTGCCCCCCTGGATGAGAAAGTGTTCCGCAGAGCATGGAGCACACCCCAAGTGTGAGGAATGTTGGTGGTGAGTTTGTGGCCAGTGAGTCTGAGGCCTTGGCCCTGATCCTGCCCCTGCAGATTGTCAGACTCTGCCAGGCTGAGGCTCACAGAGTAGGAGGAAGAAAGCTAATTAGGAAGTGCTACGTTCACACGACCAGGCACAGCAGACTCTCCCAAGACCAGCTTATTTATAGTCAGAAAAACATTCCATCTGAACAGTCAGTTCTGTCACTAGAATATAAGGATTTCTTTTACCCTTTGATAAGATCAACTTTATTCTTCAAAGTGATACCTTTGGAATGAGAAAAGGAAGCTCACAATTATTGCCACCGAGGAAGCAGTGCATGGTGACCCTGCCTGTGTCTTTATTTATGCTCTGATTGTCCCAAGACCAGAATCACATTTTCTCTACTGGCACCGCTGATTTGAGGGTGAGGAGAAATTGAGTGCCTTGGGCCCCAAGTGGTGGGAGAACTTCAAATCCTGCCAATCAGCCTGGCTCCGGGTGTTGGCCGCCACAGAAGTGGTCCTGGCTTGCTTGTTCAGCCTCATCTCTGCCACTCTGCAGGTCTCCATCAATGCTCAGGCCACATCAAACATTTTCAGTTCTTGAAACTAAAGGTTGCAGCCTCTCTTCAGCCTCAGGATCTTTGCACATTCTGTCCTCCTCCACTCCATCTCTTCTAATGTCTAACCCTCATCTTTCAGGTGTCTGGATAAGTAAGCAGCACTTACTCAAAAAAGTTCCTGACTCTCATCTCAATTATTTTTTTTAAGATTTATTTATTTATGCATACAAAAGCTGGGGTACAGGCCAAAGATGAATGGGGTGAGAGGATTCACCAGAGACAGGGCACGGAGCAGAACAGGCAGATTGAATTCAGTGCTGAGGGGAGCAGTGGGTGAGACAGCAGCGGCCTCCTGCGCCATGTGGGCCACCTCCCTGGCCAGGGATCGAACTCGTTTTGCAGAGGCTGCGGATAGCTTCTAATTGCTGCATCTTAACCCCTTGCGCCACCAGGGAGGTCCCGTCATTTCAATTTAAATTAAACCTCACTGTGGCATTTTGAACATCCTTCACATTTATCATAATTTGAACTTGTTAGTACTTTCAGTACTTGTTAGTACTTGTTAGTACTTTTGAGCTGTGTGAGGGCAGGGACTATGTTCCCAGACCCCAGCAAGTGTCAAAGTAGACAGTGAATTTTTACTCAAGAAATTAAGAAGTAGGAAGCAATTCAGATGCTGCACAGGAATGTGGAAGAGATCACGTGCAGGGCACAGCTTGAAGGGGTGTCAGAAGGAAGGGTTAGCCACAAGAGATTTTGAAGGCCAAAGAAGAGTAGAAGGTTAGGCCTGGCTTGGATTTTGCTTCTAGAAACTTCCTTCTTTCCATCTTGGGGATCAGCTCGACCCATTTTGTGCTAAGGACGAAATGGGGCAAGAAGATCCTTAGCTCATTCAAAAGCCAAAAATCCTGGCTGAGAGAGAGGTAATTAAATAACGCACCCAGGAGAAGGCCCTGGAGGGGGTGGCAGATGCTTCAAGAGCACAGGATCTGGGGCTGCTTCCTGGTGGGGGCATGAGCTGATGTGTGTCCCCTCCCCAATGTCAGGACGGGATTCTGCTGGGAGCTGTCGGTGCCTATGACTGGAATGGAGCTGTGCTAAAGGAGACCAGCAGCGGGAAGGTCATTCCTCTCCGAGAGTCCTACCTGAAAGAATTCCCCGAGGAGCTCAAGAATCACGGGGCCTACCTGGGTATAAGTCAGAGCTGGGGTGTGGGGAGGTGGCTGTTGGAGGGCCAGGAAGGGACCCAGGAGAGGCAGCACCCCTAGGAGGCCAGAGGCCCATCTGTGCACATTCTGTGCTGATTCATGCAGGGGCCAGGGCCGGGGTCATTGGCTCTCCCCCCGACCCCGCACACCCAGCCCCCTGCCCTGCATGCAATGGGCTCAGTGCGTAGTAGGGAACAGCGTGAATGGGGAGGGGTGGCATGTGGGTCAGCTGTAGTGGGAGGCCTCCCGCTGGAGCTATTCCATGTTGGCAGCAGGAAGCTAGTGAAGGTATCTGAGTGAGAGCAGGGTGAGTCTATGCCCCCATTCCCACCCCCACCCAGCAGAGCTGTCCCACACCTTGTCCCAGACAACCCTGGTGGGGCAAAGCTAGGCTGAACGGACCTTATGAGGCTCACTGTCTTTTCCCTAACCAGGCTCACCGTCTTGAGTGGGGTCCTGAGTAAGTGTCTTCTCTCCTCCTCCCTCTGGGAGTCTATCCACCAAGGACAGTGTTTGGAGCCCTAGAAGATTCCTCCCCACATGCCCCAAGGGAAAGTGTCGAGGGGGAAGGGGCCTAGGAGGCTAGGTCTCTACCTTCACATGGAGGAAGCTGTAGGGACTTTTGGCCACAGGTCTCCCCCATCCTCTTGTCAGGGCTTTCGGGAAGCTGGTCCAGCTTCCAGAATGAGCCACCTGCTGGTTAAAGAGCCACCTGGGAAATGAAGCCACAGCCAACAGACTGCTGGGCAGCAGGAAGCTCTCCATGGTGCTTGGAGTTTTATGAGCTGGCCTATGTCTTCCCTGGGGACATTCGGTCCCCAAGCCATCCCACCACCACTGTCCCTTCTTCTGTGAAAGCCCAAGGTTCCAGGGCCAATTGAGAACAGCTTTAATAGTGTCACTGAAGGCGCAACTCAGAAGGATCTTTGTCCCATACCACAAAGCCAACCCTGCCTTGCCCTCCTATGGTTATGGCTGCACTGCAGACAGAGCCACGTTAGCTAGACGTTCGTGTATATATGATGTCCTGGTCTTGCCAATCTTTTGAGCCTCATTCTCCAGAACACACCTCCAAGAGTGGAAAACATTGTCTGGATCCCGAGTAACCTACCCATTGCACCCACATTCCCAGCCACTGAATCAGCTCATTCTGCAGCCACTCTGGAAGCAACTGGTGGGGTCCGAGTGACAGTGTTACCTCCAAGCCCCCCCCACACACACATACACATGTGCACATGAACAGGAGGGGACATCCAGCCACCAGAAGCTGCCAACAAAGACTGACACCCAGCTAAAAGCTGAGATCTAATATCCAAGCTCACCTCACAGAAAGCTGGAGGGACTCCGGGCTTGCACACTTGCTGGGTCCCCACTTTCAGGAGAGTTGCCTGAAGGTATCTCATGTTTACCTCACACAGTCACCAAGCAAAGTCATCCCAAGAACATAGACCGAAAGCTTTTGCAAAGGAACCCCAGTTCTCATGGTCTCCTCTTTGTGGGGCCTATATATGGGACTGAGAGGAGCCTGGAGCGCCTGTCTTTGGGGGCTGCAGGAACCCCTGAGACCCCACAAAAGCAGACCAGCCTGTTTCCTGTTTCCTCCTGTGGCAGGGTACACAGTCACGTCGGTCGTGTCCTCCAGGCAGGGGCGGGTGTATGTGGCCGGAGCCCCCCGGTTCAACCACACAGGCAAAGTCATCCTGTTCACCATGCACAACAACCGGAGTCTCACCATCCACCAGGCCCTACAAGGGGAGCAGGTAATGGATGGGGGCGCCTAGGAGCAAGGGGGGAAGGGCAAGGGGGAGGACAAGGCTGGACTGGAGGGGACCTTGGTGCTCATCTCTCCCCTTCAGTAAGACTGTCCCCCAGCCACAGAAATCCTCCCCGACTGGAGGCACATAGCTCCTTCACAACAGTCTTAGCACTGCGCTGTCCTGGTCCCAGAAAGCAGGTCCTGGTCCCTACAAGAGCAAGGTACCTGCTATGGGAATAATTTGCTTGCCTCCATTTCCAGAACCCCCTGTCATGTCTAGAGTTCAGGGCTGGAGGCAGCATGGAGGTTGTGGCTTCCCAGCCTGGCTGCCAGGCCCAAGCATCCTGAAGGGGCCGTCATGTCCCTTTGGCACCTTCACGCTGCCCAAAGTAGGAAGAGTCATGCATCCATCCACCAGTTCCACCCACAGCTCACTGACATGCCAGCGTGTCCCTTTGCTGGCACTGTTAGCGTGACTCGGCGGTCACAGCCCCTGCCTGCCTGGGCGTGGGGGCAACCTGACGGGGTTGCTGTGTCTCCTGTTGGATGATCATGAATGCAAAGGGGACGCTATGATAAGAGTCACTGATGGTAAAGGTCAGAATGGAGGGCTGTGAGCCAAGTCACTTCAGCTGCCAAGGGGGATGTGGCCTGGAAAGTGGCATAGCTTTCCCAGGGCTGAGATGGTAGATTCATGGCTTGGTCAAGCTCAGAATTTGTGACTCTTGGTGGGACTGCCTGTGCTGTGCCACTGCCAGGCCACTGCCTGGCCCGGACATCTCCAAAACCAGGCCTCTCCGGAGCCTGAGAGCAGCGCTGTCTTCCGTGCCTTCTACTGCCCTTGGCCCAGCACTGTGTGGGCAGATTTCTCACTGGGTCTAACCTAAGTCCCGTAGCTGCAGAAGCCATCACTCTCCCGCCCTCCCTCCCATCTCAAGGGCACTGGGAAGCCTGGCACTGCTGTCCCCCAGCCTCCAGCCCACCGCCCACACTCCCCCCACAGCTGTCTCTTTTGGGATCCAAGGCCAGACCTTGAGAGCTGGAGGGAATTTGTTGATAAATTTATGACATTTTTACAGCCTGCTTCTGCCTCCAACATCCGAAGGAGAAACCGCAGTGCTGAAGGCAGCTGAATTAAGTGGATTCCAAATATCGTGACCCACATAGCTGAGGCCACATATTTAGACAAATGTCTCCCACTCTCCTCCCTCTTTTGCTCAGTCTGGCTCTTCCCTCCCCCACGCTGTGTTTATGATTTCCTCTTTCTCTCATCTATTGTTTTAGCTTTCTCTTCAGTTAAAATCTTTTAATGCTTGAGGATAGATTTTTTTTCCTGAAGACATCCTAAGCCAGGAGATAAGCAAGCGGGGGAGAATCATGGGCTCAGATATGAGACAGACCCAAGTTCCAACCCTCACTAGCCTGACCTTGGCGAGTGGCTCGAATTCTCTGAGCTCAGTCCGTTCCCTGCACAGTGAGGACCATCGTCTCACCAAAGGTGGCACGAGGCTGTCACTGCTAACCTGAGGCTGCAAGCATCTCACATGGGGGCTGTCATGAGAAGGGTTCCTCCCCCTTTCCTAAGCAACCAATGGTCCAATCAACATTTATCGAGCACCTCCTGTATGCCAGGCAGGGCACGAGGGAACCCAGAGGGCTCAGAACCTACCCTCATGAGGGCCCCCGTGGAGGGAGCAGGTGCTGGGGGACCGTGCACAGGGCACCCATGGCAGGGAGTAGAGTGGGACTGGCTGGGTTCCTAACAGGAAGTGACCTGAAGGATGGAGAGACAGTTTCTGGGGAGCTAGGAGGGGAGAAGGGTGCAGACAACAGGAAAGTATATGTTGAGGGAAGCATGGAACCCAGACAGAGCCTGAGACTTTTGGAGAAGAGAAATCTCTCCATATGGCAGGAGGCACTCCCTCTGTGTGGGGGACAGTCAGGGACAGAGGCTGAGAGGAAGGGGGAAGGTCCAGCGGGATATCTGGACCAAAGCGAGGGATCATTTGATCAGCTGCCAGAGGGGGGTGTGTTCTGCAAACACCCCCCCACCCCGCAAACCTGCACTGCAGGTGGGAGAGGTGGACACTGGGGCTTCTGATTCAGTGAGTGGGTGGCTCCCTCCCTGAGGAAGCACCTAAGGCAGAGAGCACAGTGAGAGCTCAAATGCTGAAAAGTCATAATTCTCCACCACCTATCCCAGAGGCCTTTGGACCATGTCCAGCAAATGAGGACTGATTATACACTCTTGGCACACGCTTGCTTTTCAATATTACAGGGCCACTGGTGATTATTTCGTAGAAAAAAATAGAATCCATCATGAAAAAAAATGCTCAGGATACATGATTTGATTTAAAAAATCATTCTACAGCAGGTCCTTGGATTTTTGTTATACTATTGAGGCAACAAGTAATAATCCAGTCTCACTTCGAATAAAACCTAATTGGAGGACCTGCTTTCCTCACAGTCCCAGTTTCTCAGAACCTTCCCGTGATTTTAAGTGAGAACTTACCCTAAAAACTCTGCGACAGGATTCCAGAGTACAAAAATAATACCACACGCTCAGACAGCACACCCTAGAAAACTCTAGAAGAACACAAAAGTGTACAAAATAGAAGGAAATACACGAAAGTGTAGAAAATACACTAGTGGGATTTTTCAACTGTGGGCGCTTTTTATCTTCGTTCTATCTTTTTAAAAAGTTTGCTCATTTCTTGCCATTCTAAAATGTCACTTAACAAACACAATAAATGTCAAGCAATAAAAGTGAACACGGAAAGCAGGAAGAGTAGCGGGTGTGGATACCAGAAGGAAAGATGAACGCATTGACCAGGCTGGTCCAGTCCTGGGCTGGGAAGGGGTGCAGGCCCGGCGGCGGCAAAGGGGTGCAGCCTTCCCATTCGCTTTCCAAAAGTTCCAAGTCCAAGGCTCCTGGGTTTGTTTCGGGGTAAGGGGCGGGTTCAGTGTGCGTGGGCACCTCGCTTCCCTCTGCCCGTCCCTGTGCCACAGATAGGCTCTTACTTCGGGAGTGAGATCACCTCTGTGGATGTGGATGGTGACGGGGTGACTGACGTCCTGCTGGTGGGCGCCCCCATGTACTTCAGCGAGGGCCGTGAGCGCGGCCGGGTCTACGTCTACAGCCTGAGACAGGTAGGCTGCGCGGAGCTGGGCAGAGATTGGGCATGGCCGACCCTGGCCTTGACTCGGGTAGTCCTGAGAGAAGGTCACTGCAGGGCCCGTGTCCACCTGCTGAGCCAGCTGGGGAGAACTGGAGCCCCGGCATCGCTGGTCTTAACCTGCCAGGGAGAGATTTCTAGGGTGCAGCAGGGATGCTGCAGGCCAGAGCTGATTGTGACCCCGAGTCCCCTTGCCATGTAAACCGAGTCTTTTCCTGCCCCTGGTTTGGAAGGACCAGTTTGTTTACAATGAGACGCTGAAGGATTCCCAGAATTACCAGAATGCCCGCTTCGGGGCCTCCATCGTCTCGGTTCGGGACCTCAATCAAGACTCCTGTAATGATGTGGTGGTGGGAGCCCCGCTAGAGGACAACCACCGGGGGGCCATCTACATCTTCCACGGCTTCCAAGGCGGCATCCTAAAAAAGCCAAAGCAGGTAACACGCCCCCTCAACCCCTAGAAATGATCGAGCTTGGACTCGGAGCGGGTTCACGATTCTCTTCTGTGTCTTCATATAACAGCAGTCCCGAATGCCTAGCCCTGCAGGTCTCTAGTGGAAATTTTGATAGGGTGCATCTGTCTGCAGCACTTCCCCTTGGCCCCTGCCTAACCTAATCTGCCTCCCCCACCCCAGACAACAATAAAATCCCAGGGACCTCACCTGCCCACTTGTGTCCATGCGATTGACTGCGAATGGAGACACCCCCCCCACCCCCACCCCCCCCACCCCCCCCCCCCCGCTGCCCTTGCTTTGCTCTGGAAATGCTTTATGCCGGAAGCCTTTCCGACCTCAGAGTAACCCTTCCTTGTCCCTTCCCCTCCAGGTCATCACTTTGCCTACATATTTTGTTGGCAAGATAGTCTAATAAATACACCATAGGTAGAGGCACAGGTAGGTTACCTGCCTCATAACCTGTCACACTTGATAGTGACCTCTTTTTAGATACAATATTTTTTAAAGATTTATTTATTTATGCATACAAGAGCTGGGGTACAGACCGGAGATGCGGGGGGTGAGAGGATCCACCAGAGACAGAGCGGGGAACAGAACAGGCAGACTGACTGAAACACACTGCTGAGGGGAGAAGCAGGCGAGACAGGAGAGGTCTGCTGCGCCATGTGGGTTTCTCCCTGGCCGGCCGGGGATCGAACTCATGCTGCAGAGGCTGCAGATTGCTTCACAGTGTGGTGTTTAACCCCTTGCGCCACCATAGAGACCCTAGATACAATATTTTAATCCCAACAAATGATTTAAAGATAGGAATTGCAAGTTCCAGGACCAAGCAGGAGGCAAAAGCTTTGAGCTAGGAAAGCTTCCTGATGGTTCCAAACAGGCTGTCTCTGGGCTCCCCAATTGTGTTTACCCCGAGGGCACCCTTCCGTCCGTGCTAACAGTGTATGTGCGCTGCGTTCTTCTTCTTTCCACTCTTGGCAGAGAATCGCCGCCTCAGAACTGACTCCAGGTCTGCAGTACTTTGGCTGCAGCATCCACGGGCAGCTGGACCTGAATGAAGACGGGCTGGTTGATCTGGCAGTGGGCGCCCTTGGCAACGCTGTGATTCTGTGGTTGGTCCCCCTCTTCTTGATGCTTGGTTCTCCTGAGGGGCCCTCTGGGTACCAGATTCATTTTTTTTTTAAGATTTATTTTATTTATTTATGCATACAAGAACTGGGGTACAGGCCAGAGGTGTGGGGTATGAAAGGATTCACCATTTACAGAGTGGGGAGCAGAACAGGCAGATTGACTGAAATCCACTGCTGAGGGGAGCAGCTGGCGAGTCAGGAGAGGTCTGCTGCAACATGTGGGTAGCTCCCTGGCTGGGGATCGAACTTGTGCAGAACTCATGCCATGGTGGCTGGGGATAGCTTGATAGTGCTGAGACTTTAACCCCTGCACCACCAGGCCCTGGGTACAGGATTTAAAAGATGTGCTTCAGGACCTTGTCCCTTGTCTCTCACCATTGTCAGCTCTACTCACACAATTCTTATCTCATAGGGGTTACCAGTCTTAATTGGTTTTAAGGAATCATTTTAAGTTATCTTGAAGTTCAAATCACTCTTCTAGGAGCTCTATGCTGTTAGAGCAAAATAGTGTCCAAAAAACCTCTCAGAATTTGAAATTCTAGAAGTTCTGGCTACTCACTCATCTCTTACACTTTAGTTTTTCAAACTACATAAAGAAACAGGCTGGGTGGATTCTTAGCAGCTGGGAGGCGCATCCTGCTCCCTGGGGTGAGAGAATGTGTATGTTTTTCAGAGATCTGTTCTTCCAAGCCCCTTCTGACTTCTTGCTTCCTTCCTTCAGTCTCCCTCTGCACCACCCCATCAGCTATGTGCCATATGTCTACACTTAGGGTCTCGCTTTAGCAATAGCCAAGGGCTTCAAAAAAAAAAAAAAATGCTTTCTAAAAGCCCATAAATTTTACCACATATAATGTGTTAGCTATTTTTTAAGCCAAAAAAATTTTTTAATTTGAGCTTTTTCTTTGTGTATAGTTGATCCTTGAACAAAGTGGGGGCTAGGAATGCTTACCTCACACAGTTGAAAATCTGCCTATATCTTAGAGTTGACTCTCCACATTATGTGGGCTCCACATCTGGGGGTTCAACCAACCAACACCTGCAGTTGGATGGATCGGGGAACATGGAACCCATGGAAAGAAAAAAATTTCAGACAAAATTCATTAAAATAATATTCATTCTCCATAATTTATGTTGCTCTTGATTTCTTGTAGCAATTATTATGAGTCCAGTTTTTCCATAAGCTCTGCAATTTCTTATCCTTTTTTCCATGATAAACCTGCATTTTAAAGTATTTATCAAAGTTCTTTTACTGTGAGTTTCTCTAAATGCAAAACATTAGAATAAGTAATAGCTTCTGAAAACAGCAAAAGATTTGTACATGCCTATAATTAAAGATTTCAGTATAATACACTTAATAAGGAAATTTGCTCAATTTTGTGGTATATAATATTTCAGAATAATAGCCAAAATTGGCCAGTAGTAATTTTCTACTAGAACATTCAGATTTTTAAGAAGTTTCACATAATTTCTAGAACAATCCTATTAGTATTTACATTACATGCCAAGAAGTTTGAGCTTTTCTCCTTATGTGACAATCCTTCCCATAACATTTCAACTTATTAAATAGAATAAAGTTGTTTAATATTTTTCTCTCTACAAGGAAAGAAAACAATTTTTATAGGGTGTCTTAGGAGTTCTCTTAAGACTTTCCGTATTTCTTATTTTTAATCAAAAATTTTATTATTTTTAGAATTATGGTTTCAGGGAAGTTTTGTCATAGGTGAAAACGTTCAAAATATTTATATAGGTTACTATGAAACAATATTTGATTGCTAATTTAACCAAAGTAACAGTGATTTTTAAAGCAAATATATATTTTTGACAAGGCTCAGCTCAAAGAAATGCTGACAGAACTATGTTTCTTTTTAGCTAGCCAAAAGCCTTTAAAGTATCAGATCATTAAATTAAGCAGTTTACAAGCTGTTTTTATAAACTGATCACAGTTTATAAATATACTTTTGTTCCTTCTAGAAGTTAAAAGAAATGAAAATTTGGCTTTATATAAATATATTATTATTAAGGCTTAACTATAAGTCCTTATAACAGTTCATTTTATCTTATCCAGTTTGACCACATACAAATTTCTCTACGATTCCTTTTTCATAAATCTTTTTCCACTTAACAAACCTTTTAGGACTTGCTATATTCATGCAGTTTTTTGTCCTAAAATGTATACATTCTAGAATAATCATTTCACTTGACAAAATTACTTCCTCTTTCCTTTATCCCTTTTCCTTTTGTCCTTCCACTTTCCTTCCCATGTCCTTTATCCTTTCTTCTCCAGGGGTCTAATCCCCTTCTATTCTCCTTACTGCTTTCCATACTTTTTTATCCTTTCAAATCCTTAATTCCTAATAAAAAATTAAAAATCTAAGTGAGATTTGCAATAGTCAGTCTGTGTACCAAAAAGAGTGTGTCTCAAATTTTTGTGTTTGCTCCTGGGGTTAGTGCTGTTTTCTCCTGGGGTGTTTACATTCTAAAGACAGATTAGATTTATGGGGGGAGATATGTTAGGAGTTTTACAGGGTATATTTTTCCATTATCAGGTAATTGCTATTTAAAATTTTTCTCTTTACCAGGTATTTTATTTCTTTTCAACGTCCCTCTCCCCTTTTTTAACTTTATCCCATTATTCTTACTCTAAAGACATGCATGTTTCAAATTAAACCATTAAATTTTAAAGCTAGTTCTCATCAACCATAACCATCCAAGATCATGGTTCCTAAAAAATATTTTGGTTTTTTCCCCATTATATTCCTGAGTTCAGAATTTATATAGATACCTTTTGTAATTCATTCTAGTATTACCAGCCTGAGATAAAACAAAGAGGCCCAGTGGGAAGACACTCAAACATACATATAGTCTTAGAGCTCTCTTTTTTTAAGTATTATTTAAAACTCTGTTCTAATGGACTAAAGCCAAGCCTACCACTTATATTGCCTATTACCTTCTCTTCAGTGATCACTATTATAGATACATCTAAAATGGAATTGTTGCTAAAGTCCTAAACCAAACTAAATCTAAAAACTTTAATGTGAGTAGCTTCCATGACTATAACTTCTTTACATTTACATTGTCTTTTTTTTAATTAAATTAAAATTTTTTATTGTATTATTTTTATTTTTTAATTTTAATTTTATTTTTATACTCCCCATACAATTGCAACCCCCTTATTTTGACCCCAACCCCTCCTTTCCCCACCTCCCACCTCCCATAGAGTATCTCTGGTTCATAGTTGTTTGTTGATTTTGATTTTTACTTTCTTATAGTTATTCTTTTTCCTGGTCTCTTATTTAAGTTTTCTAGATTCCTGCTATGAGTGAGACCATCCGGTATTTTTCTTTTTCTTTCTGGCTTATTTCGCTGAGCATGATCCCTTCCAGCGCCATCCATGTTGCTGCAAATTGCATGTGTTTATCTTTTTTGAATGCTGAGTAATATTCCATTGTGTATATCTACCACATCTTCCATATGATCCAGCATTTCCACTCCTAGTTATTTACCCAAAGGACACAGAAACATCAATTCCAAAGAGCACTTGCACCCCTATGTTTATAGCAGCACTATTTATAATAGCTAAGCTTTACATTGTCTTTTATCCTGGCATTCTAACCCAGGGACCTCAGGCCTCTAGCCCAAGGACTCGGGGATTCTAACCCACCAAAGATCTTTCTGCATTCTCTAGGGCCATCCTCTAACTCACAAGCCTACTGAGCTATTAATTAAACAGTTTAGGAAACAGATACTCAAAGCAAGATTACTCACTTAAAAGTCATCTGTTCCCAGAACTATTTCTTCTTTCAAAATGAAATTAGCACCAAGGAATCCTTGAGTATTGGAGTGGAGCAAGGGAGCCCAGTTGCTGAGCCTCTGGACAAAGAGGTCTAGGTGACTCCTCAGGGTCAGCAGTGGGGAAATCCGCTCCCTAACAGGGCTGCAGTGCCTTGCGCAGGCAGTTCCACCTGGAGTGACAGTTCATTGCCAACCAGTGGGCTCACAGCCCAGTGTCCATAGAGGCTGATTACTATACAAAACTCCAGGTTTTGACAGGAGAGAGGGTTTTATTGCAAGTCAGCTGGTAAGGAGGCAGAAGAAAAACTCAACTCTGCCTCTCTGGTTAAGAAACGGAATGAGGTTATACACGTTTTACGGATTAGGGTTAAAATCATAGGAGTTAAATTTTACTGGCTAAAGAATAGACTAAGAGCAAAGAAATGTATACTTACCTGGAGTTCATTGGCTAGTTTAGGGCAGGTCATGTATGGAGAAGTATGAAGAGATTGTTGTCCAGATCCCTGGAGTTCTGAATTTCTGTTGATGGGCCCCTCACCTCGGGGTGCTCCTCTCCTCTGCACTTGGGCCTGCGGCTCAGCTCCAGGTTAGTTCCTTCTGCAGTTGCTCAGTTATATCATTTGTAGATAAGGTCAAGGCTCTTGTATGTCTGTGAAAGTAAAATGCAAAAGGAAAGTTATACAAGTTTTTTTTTCTTTTGTTCTCTAGGATCTGAGAACAATTTAACTATTTCATCTTGGTTTCAGTATGAAAATTTGAGAAGTACCCCTTTAAGACATGACAATGCTGATTCTTTTTTTTTTTTAAGATTTATTTATGCATACAAGAACTGGGGTACAGGCCAGATGTGCCAGAGAGGACTCACCAGATGCATTGGTGAGAGGACTCACCAGAGACAGAGTGGGGAGCAGAACAGGCAGACTGACTGAAATACACTACTGAGGGGAGCAACGGGCGAGTCAGGAGAGTTCTGCTGCACCATGTGGGTAGCTCTCTGGCCAGCCAGGATCGAACTTGTGCTGCAGTGGCTGTGGACAGCTTCATATAGGTTGTGTCTCAACCCCCTGCACCACCAAGGAGGCCTGTTAATGCTGATTCTGATTTAACTTGCTCCTAGAGTGCAACTTGGGCATCAAGATTTTTTTAAAACTCTCTACATTATTCTAATATACACCCAGTGGCAGGAATCACTGGTCTAAAAGTGAGAAAGAGGCAAAGAAAGTCAGTATGGTCTGCAACAAGTGCAGCTCCCCAGGGAATAAAGGGCAGCTCGAGACTGTGAAGCTGCTGGGTCTGCCTCTCACCCACCATGAGCTTTTTTGCACAATGCTTTGACATCTCTGCCCCCAACCCACCTCACCCTCCAATGGCAGTTTGGCAAGTTCCATTCCCGTCTGGCTTCCCACCTTTCCCTGGGTCACAGCAAGGCAGCCTTTCTCGCCCTCCACCCTTCTGCACTCCTGTCCTCTCCAGGTCCCGCCCTGTGGTTCGGATCAATGTCAGCCTCCACTTTGAGCCATCCAAGATCAACATCTTCCACAGAGACTGTAAACGCAGTGGCAGAGATGCCACCTGCCTAGCCGCCTTCCTCTGCTTCACGCCCATCTTCCTGGCACCCGACTTCCAAGCAGCCACAATTGGTAAATCTACCACTCACCCAGCTCGGTTCCCTGTGGACTTTTCAGTGGCTTTGTTTCAGAACCTGGACTTTGCTGGGGTGGGCTTTGAGTGCCAGGCCATGGCCAGAACCACCTTTGATGACTGCTGGATACCCATTTGATGCTTTGATTCCAAGGGGCAAAGAGGGGTATCATGCCAGGATGGGGATGGCAGTCAGCAGCCATGACTAAGGGGAAGAGGGAAAATTTGGGTACAATTGGATCAGAATAGGAGACTGGAAGCAAAGGACAAATTGGGGTGTGAAGCCATGAAGTCAACCTGGATGGGGAGTAAGAGGCTAACCCAGAAGAGGGTAGGAACTAGGGATCAGGACAATGAAGACCCAGCAGCAGTGGGCACTGCTCAGAGCAAGCATGGGTCTGTCCAAGGGCAGTTTCCTTCACATTCAGCCAAGGAGGGTCAGAGACCTGCTCACCACACAGTCCTGGGCCTAGATGGCCCCAGGAAGTGACAGCTACAGGTTCCAGGCGGGCTGGGCCAGTGGAGTGGGGGGCACCACAGCGAGCTTCTCAGCCAAGAAGCAGGATGCACCAAACAAGGAAGAGAAGGGAGAGAGGTGGGCCTGGGGTCTGTGCTCGTCTTTCAGTTTCTGTCAATGAGTGGGGGAGGATGCAAGGACCTGTGCCCCCAGAGGGCTGGTCGGGGAACAGGAACAGGGGCTCAGCCTTTGGTGGAGTTAGCAAGATCCTCCTATGGAAGGCAGGAGGCTGCAGGCTTAGGCAGAACAGAGTCTTAGACTTGAGGTGCTCCCTGGTGTGATGGGAGCTGCCCCCTACAAAGGCCCAGCTCTCCCAGGGCCCCAGAGCTGAGGAAGACCCAGGAGGTGAAAGGGGAGGTGGAGAAGTGTGTTGACTCACAGGGGGATTGCCCTGGCCCCTTGTCCTATCTCCTCTCCTTTTCTGCTTCCTTCACCTCCCCCACATTTCCTGCTCTTCTCTTCCCTGCCAGCCCCATCTTCATTACCCTCCTCACCTTCCTGCTCCCTTCAGTCCCTTCCTTTTCCTCTTGCTCTCTGCTTGGCAGTTTCTCTGCTCCTGCACGCTTGTGAGGGCAGAGAAGCAGCTCTTCCCCGGCCAGCCTGGAGGGCTCCCTGGAAGAGACTGACTTTAAAAGACAGGTAAACGGTGGCTCCGTGTTCACGGCCTTGCCCTCTCCCCCAGGCATCAAGTACAACGCCACCATGGACGAGCGGCGGTACACGCCGAGGGCCCACCTGGACGAGGGCGGGGACCAGTACACCAACAGGGCCGTCCTGCTGTCCTCCGGCCAGGAACACTGTGAGCGGATCAGCTTCCATGTCCTGGTGAGCCTGACGCCCAGCGCCCCACCAGCGGAACCCAAGTCCGAGAGGCAGAGGCCCCAGAGCTGGTGGAGAGGCTGCCACGGTGGACGCAGGGCTCCAGTCCGGCTGGCTGTTCTGGGCCCGCAGTGGAGCTCAGCAGGCTAGGCAGGGCCACCGGCCTGGACCTTGGCCGCCCCTTATTCCCGCTCCAGTGGAAAAGGCCACAGGACCACCACTTACCACCTCAAGGGACACCCCCCCGCCCATATCCCTTCCTCCTGGCTTCCAGATTCCCACTGTCTCTTCAGCAGGGGTGAAGTCCCAGAAGGGTGGTAGGCTCAGTGAGGTCTAAAAGAGAAACTAGGGTCGGCCAACAGGGCCGTGGCTCGAAAGAAATGGATAAGCAGGCATCCGCTGAAAATGAAGAGCCAGTGGGCGGGTGAGTGGTGTGGACAAGCTGAGGGGAGCTGCAGCCAGCCTGCTGGCAAGGGAGGGCCAGCCATGGTCTGGCGCTCTGCTTTACAGTAAGGAAGCGGGTAAGAATTTTGCCTCCATCCAGAAATCCCAAGCACCCAAACTCTAGCTCCAGGCTTAGAGACACAAGCATGGGCAGCCAGAACCCCCTGAGTCCAGTCCTCCGGGGTCAGAAAAGCAAGCAGGTAGAAGCCCCTACCCTGCTGCTCTGTCACCCCTTCTAATATATTTGTGCCTGGTTCTCCCGGCGTGGTTCATCCCCATTTCCTGCCGCTTGTGAGAAATGAACATTTGTAAGCCTCATCCCAGGCCCACTGAACCAGAGACTCCCGGCGGGGCCCAGCACTCAGTGTCTGAGTAGCCCGCGCCCCAGGGCAGATTCCGAAGTGAGCTCAGGTTAGAGCACCGCAGCCTTCACACAGAGCAGCCACTCAAGTCTGGATTTGGGGTCTAAGGAAAGTATTTCAGGCAGTCCTAAATACCCCCCTTATTTGTCATCTCACCTGAATCGCCCCTATTTTGCTCTGCACTTGCCCATTCATTGATTCTGCACAGTTCTTAAGCCCTCGTCACAGTGCTAGGACTTTGCTAAGAGGTTTCGAGGGAAGAGACTGAGCTGTTTGGGTCAGACAGCTGTGGTCATGACAGGTCCCGTCAGCGCCAGGCGGGGGGCGGGCACTGGCCTCCTGGAGGCTCAGGTGTTGAGCTGATGGGGACCATGAAGGATGAACAGGAGCCCGCTGGGCCATCCACCTTGCTGAGGCGACGTGCGCCGGCCCAGAGCCCCTTTCCATGAAGCTCACCCTCCAGCTCTGGACCCCGGATGGCACTTTCATCCTGGACTCATCCTGAGGGCAGAGGGGGCAGCGCACCCAAGCTCAGGGAGAAGGAAATTCTGTCCTTATCCTGGTGGTCCTGGCCCGGAAAAGGATGCTCCCTCCGCCCTGGCCCAGTGCTCACCTCCTCCACACAGGATACCGCTGACTACGTGAAGCCGGTGACCTTCTCCGTGGAGTACTCCCTGCAGGACCCGGACAAGGGCCCCATGCTGGACGACGGCTGGCCCACAGCCCTCAGAGTCTCGGTACGTCCCGGCCTGCAGGACACATTCCCCATCCATTCCTCCTGCTCTGGGGAGTCTTTCCTCTGCCATGCCTTCCCCTCCTGCCCCGCAAACCCACACACCTGCTTCCCTCTGCCCCTTGGCCATGTGGCCAATTTCTCACGACCCTTTCCCGCTGGAGGTTCCCAGCATAGGTGAGCATTGAGGGTTTGCTGGAAAAATGTGGAGAATTCCAGGACCAGAACGGTCTTTAGATCTCTTTTGTCTGCTCTAGGTGTGCAAACAGGACAGTGGAGGCCTGAGAGCGCGCCCAGCCACTCAAAGCTGGCCTGCAGCTTGTGGGATGACTGATCGACTGATAGACTGATAGATAGTCCTCCCCGCCCACTTCTAAGTGTTCCAAAAATAAGTGGTTTTTAATTTCATCTTTGGCTACGATACCACCCCTCGACCACATATTCTAACCCCTCGCTCTCAGGCATCAGAATTTTCTGGTATCTGACACTCAGTGTTCCGTGTACCTGCCACTCCAAAGAAAATGTCGCTTACCAAAGCTGTCCAGGCTGTGCTGGGAAGCAGGCAACGTCCATACATGCCCGAGGGCACAGGAGACCCCAGTGCTCTTAGGACCACACCTGTGCAATGCAGACTCTAAGTAACATCTAAAATACAGCAGCCAGCCAGCAAACAATTTCAGAATTATTCACATTCTTACTTGTATTTCTCCAGTGTAGAAGGACCGCAGCATCAACAGCAATACTTCTGAAATGCCCTTGATTCTGTTCACCTCCATCACCCCCTCAGCTCTCCCGCACTCCACCACCAACCCTCGACCTTCGCCCCTTCCCCTTTCCTCCTGGCAGGCACATCAGAGCGGTTGTCTTTAAAACACATTTCGAGAGTGCAGGAGAGATGGACTGGGAAGGCTGGACTCCTCATTAGTGAGCCAGGAAAGGGGGGAAGCTGGGAGCCCTGAGTCGTTAATATTTTTCCCATTACAATAATTGCAAAGCCTCTACAGCAAGTGAAGGCGCCTGTGCCATTCAATCTAAGGCATGCTGAGGCTGTTCTGCAGATTAAATGCAGGGCATGCTGTGCTCTGTCGCTGACGACACTGGTGACAGGGATCACAGGTCAGGTCAAAGGCCAGAGTGAGGTCAGAACAAGTGTAACCAAGCATCTGATGTTAGGGCAGGAGGACTTCCTGGAGGTGGCTATGAAAGTGCAGAGAAGAGGAAGCCCAGGTCTTGTGCAACAGGGAAAAGAGCTGACGTGTGTGGGATGAAGGTTGGCCTGTAGCATAGATGGGGGCTGGTGGCAGTGGGTCCCCTAACCAGCTTCCTGTACCCCACTCTCCCTGGCCCAGGTGCCCTTCTGGAATGGCTGCAATGAGGACGAGCACTGTGTCCCTGACCTCCTGCTGGATGCCTATAGTGACCTGCCCACGGCCCTGTGAGTTGTCTCCTCCCCTCCCCCACCCTGGCATCCTCCCCTGCTGTTCCCAGGGATGGTCTGGATGGTCTCCTGCACAGCCTTCTGGCCCGACACTGAGCCTGGAGCCTGGGCCTAGCCCAGGCCCTGCTGCTAAGCCCCATGTAACCTCAGGCAAGCTCCTCCTCTCGGGGCCTCCATTACCTCCTCTGTGAAATGAACACTATTCGTCTCATACAACCTCCTCAAACTTTGTTTAGAAGAAGTAACCCTTTCTTTTGCGCCCACACTACAAAATAGATAAAAGTGGAGACCCAGGACTAGAGTTTTGAGTGCTCATCCTCCAACCCCCTAGCCAGGAGACCTTTAAGGCCCATGACTAACTGCTTGAGCTTAATGCTACAGAAACAAGCAGAGGATGAGCAGGGTGCTTTCCACCACCCCTTTGAAGAAACAAACTAGCGTTCAATGAAAAATAAACAACCTCTGATTTTTTAAAATATTTTATTTTATATAATTCTTACATCATTTTTCATTTTTGCACAATGTATGCATTTTCATTTTGGTTATATTCCCCATACAATTGCACCCCCCCTTATTTTGACCCTAATCCTTCCTCTCCCTGCCCCTCCCCTGGTAGTGTGTCTCTGGTTTACAGTTGCTTATTGATTATGGTTTTTACTTTACTATAATTAGTCTTTTTCCTAATTATAATTATTTAGGTTTTCTAGATTCCTGCTATGAGTGAGACCATCCGGTATTTTTCTTTTTCTTTCTGGCTTACTTCGCTGAGCATGAGCCCTTCCAGCTCCATCCATGTTGCTGCAAACTGCATGAGTTTATCTTTTTTGAATGCTGAGTAATATTCCATTGTGTATATATGTACCTCATCTTCTTGATCCAGTCATCTATTTTTGGGAACCCCTAATTTTAAACATATGCCATATATTTTCAAATAACTTAAACTTTCATCTATGAGATGATTAAAATAGAAGACAGATAAACCATGACATATCCGATCAGAAATAGCACATCCAAGCCTTATAAAAGAATAAAGAAGCAAGTACTCCACCTACGCTAACCGTCAGGATTGTCTCCACATTTAACACCGAGCTTCCTGGCAGTCAAAGACAGAAGGGCAACATGCCGAGTGGAGAGGTGATATGTGAGTAATGAGTGAATCCCCACGTTCCCCATTCAATCTGGCTGATCCCTGTGGTCTCTTTCCCGCAGGGAGTACTGCCAGAAGGTGCTGAGGAAGTCTGCCCAGGACTGCTCCACATACACGCTGTCCTTTGACACCACGGTTTTCATCATAGAGAGCACGCGCCGGCGGGTGGCGGTGGAGGCCGTGCTGGAGAACAGGGGTGAGAACGCCTACAGCACAGTCCTCAATATCTCACAGTCAGCAAATCTGCAGTTTGCCAGCTTGATCCAGAAGGTAAGACCTCAGTGACCCACCCACTTGCTGAGGCAAGGGGCAGAGGCAGGAAAGGAGGGGTCCAGGCCAAGGCCTGGCTGTACATTAGGATCATCTGGAAGCTTAAATACCTTATTCAGACTTTTCCTGGAGATTCTAATTGAGCTGGTCTGGGGCAGCCTGGATCAGGATGCTTTCAAAGCTTCCCAGAGGATTTCCACTTGCAGCCAGGGCTGAGAACCCAGGGGAGGGGAGTGTGAATCCTTCTAGAACATGGGGAGGCATGGCAAATAATGCACACATGCATGTGTGCATGTGCACGCGTACACACACACACACACACACATACACACACAGCGCTCCTGAGGCCAGGAGAAGCTGAATGGAGTGAAGCCAACCCCGGAAAGTGAGGGGCTGCCTGTCATGTCCTCCCTTTCCCCATGTGGACCCCCAGTGTCCTTGAACAGACCTCAAAGTTTCATCTGAATGGGGGCCTGTCACCTGTCTGTGGCCATGGTCAGTCCTCTGTCCCATCCTGTCCAGTGCCACTCCCTCCACAGCCCAGAGCAGAGATGAGGGGCTGCCTTTCCAAGTCCTCTCTGCCCAGAGACTTTGTATCTGTCTGAATTTGGGGTAGAGGAAATTGAGCCACAAACCTGCATCCAGCTTTTCCTGCTTCCCTGACGCAGGCTTTACAAGACATGTCCTGTACCTTAGCCTAACCCTCGGGAGAAGGAATCATGGAATATTGTTTCCGTGGCACAGAAGGGCTTTTGGAACTGAGCAGGGGCAAAGAGAAGGGGAAAGGTGTCCATGGAGTGCTGTGGAGTGGGGCAAGCCTGCGCCTGGCTCCTGCCAGATGGCTGCCCTCTCCCCCAGCCTGGGATGTGCTCCCAGCAGGAGCTCAGCACTCCTCCCAGAGCCCCTCCCTTAGACCAAGGGGAAGGCTGGTGGAGGAAGCACTGCTCCTGCTCAAACACAAGCGTGTTAGTGCAATCACACATGCTTATGGCACACACGTGCAGAAATACACAAACCTACATACACGTGCAAGAAACACATGCTCCGGGGCCTCCCCAGTGGCACAGCGGTTGAGCGCTGGGTTACGAAGCTGCCCGCGGCCTCTGCGGCACCGGTTCGATCCCCGGCTGCTCCCCGGCCCCGGAGGAGGGTCCCACATGGCGCGCAGACCTCTCCTGCCGCCCGCTGCTCCCCTCAGCAGTGTCCTTCGGTCCTTCTGCCTGCTCTGCTCCCCGCTCTGGCTCTGGTGGATTCTCTCACCCTCCCGCACTTCTGACTATACCCAGTGCTTGTATAAACAAAACAAACAAACAAACAAACAAACAAATAAATAAATAAATAAATAAATAAATAAATAAAACGTGCCTCTAAAAAAAAAAAAAAAGAAACACATGCTCCGAATGACCGTACCTGAGTGCACATGCATGTGCACCTACATGCAGACCACGCACAGACTGGCCTATACACGCACAAGCATGTGTGCACGCCAGAGATGTACACAGGCATGTGCCCAACAGTGCAGAACCCAGGCAGGCACAAGCAGTCATCGTGGCAGCTGCCACGTGTGGTGGTTGCAATCTTCTGGGCATGGAACTAGATGCCATGTTTACATGCATCAAATCATTTAATCCTCATAACAACTAAATGAGATCAGGACTATTGAGTAGATGAGACCCAAGCAAATGAGTGAGCGGGTGCGAGTCCCTTCCCTCTGGACCGGTGCTGAGGGGACACAGTGCCAGCCCTGTGCAGTCCCAGGTCAGACGGTCAGGCAAGCCTGGTGGTGTCCCCCGACGCTAGGCCAGCCTTTTCTCAATGGCCAAGAGCCAGTGAATGACCCACTCTTCAGATTACAAAGTCATGCAAGACCCCAAAATTCTCATTTCAAGCTAAAGGCGCTCCTTTCCAGTCCTTCTAATGGGAAGATGTGCCGTCAAACAGCCAGAAGGGCAGGGAGGCAGAACAGCCAGAGCACACCCCCCTCAAGCTAGTTACTTCCTGTCTCCGGGCCTCACCTGTAAGCAGGATAAGACTTGCATTCCGGGTTGATCCAGAAGCACTGACAGCACTCCCGGGAGCGCCTGCCCACTCCCTCCACAGCCCAGGACCCTGCAACCCAGCCTCACCGCACCTCCACATCCCTCTCCACACCCCGCCAGAGCCGCCCCCAGCCTCCAGGGCCCCTGCACCCAGCCTCTACTGCAGCTTCAGCCTGGGCAATGGGGGCTGAGGGGCTCTAGGCCTGGGCCTCATGGCCCCCCTAACCGATGCCCTCATTCGCTCCAGGATGACTCCGATGGCAGCATCGAGTGTGTGAACGAAGAGAGGAGACTCCACAAGAAAGTCTGCAACGTCAGCTACCCCTTCTTCCGGGCCAAGGCCAAGGTTGAGGGCAGTGTGGGGGCGGACTGGGCGGGTATTGGGAGGCTGCGGGAGGCGAGAGAAATGTGTTCCTCTCTCCTGTGAAATGCCATTCAAATGACCTGATGAGCCGGCCTTCCTGGGACTGCCGGCCCACCTGGGAAGTGGCCAGTTCCCCTCCACCTGGGGAGGAAGCCTGCCTCCCCCATCCCGCCACCCGCCCACCACCTCCAGGCCAATCCCACTGTTCTTTGTCCTAGCGAGTTTGTAAGTGCCCAGCCTCTGTCGGTGCTGTGTGCAGGAGATGAGAAGGGAAATTAGCATTTCCTGAGCACCTACATGAGTTTAAAAATACAAGTGAAGCACATAAATGTCTTGTGAGGGAGAAGCTAATTAGCCAGGAAACCACCCCAGGGCAACAGGGAGCCACTGAGAGTTCTGGAGCAAAAGAAGACTTAATTTAGGCTGAGCTGTTTGTGAAGTGGGTATTAGAAGGGAGCTTGAGGCAGGAGCCAGCAAGAGAGTAGCCAGGGGTTCCCAGGAACAGGGTCTGCAAGGCTGCGGGCATTGTGGTGGAAGCGGTGATGGGGAGGCAGAGCAGGGCTCCTGTCAGAGGACATGTGTCTTCCCAGGGGAACACAAGACTGTAGTTTTCAGGGTAAGACACTGGCAGACCCTCAAGGCTTCTCCACCCCACCCCTCCGCCCCCTGGGCTCTGGGTCTCTGTGGGAAAGTCCATGAAGGTCAGGCCTGGGAAGCTCAGAGGCCTGTGCCCAGGTAATGACCTGAGGGAAGGGGCACGAGATGAGGGCCGATGTCACAGGGCCACATCAGGGGACCCAGGCCCCTCTCTTGGACAGTGGCCAAGGGCAGCATCGGGACATGGTCCTCGGGACTAGAGGGACCCAGGGTGGCCTTCGCCCTCTTCCAGGCCTCACCCCGTGCCACACACTTGATAGTCATGGCTGAGGCTGTCTCTCCACTCACTTCTGGCCCCCACACACCGTGGGTCACAGTGACAGCCATGGAACCCCCACCCACATCCCTACAGAGAGTCTGAAATTGGACTTGCTGCCTCCTAGTTGCCTCTAGTTTAAAAAAAGAGTGAAGAGGAGGGAGGCGGTCTGGTCCACAGCCAAGAAAGCCCCTCAGAGGAGCTGTTGTCTCCAGCTGTGTCCCCTCAGCTGCCCCCATGCTCCGCTCTCATTACTCCAGCACCCCCCTTCCTACCCTGACCCCTCTTCCCCACATGAGAGAGGGCTGGGAGGGGTGGGCCAGGCCTGGGCTGAGCAATGCCGTTCCCAACCCCCAGCTCCAACCACTCCTTCCTTTGCAGGTGGCTTTCCGGCTAGATTTTGAGTTCAGCAAATCTGTCTTCCTGCACCACCTGGAGATCCAGCTCACAGCAGGCAGGTCAGGGCCTTGCTACTCCAGAAGCTGCCCCTCCCTGTGAGGAGTCCCCACCAGGCCCTGCCCCTCATGCCCCCACCTGGGAAGCCCTTGGGTCAGTCCCCAATGTGCTGCCCCAAGTGTTGCCACCATTCCTCATTCTTGGATATGGATAATTATCCCCTCACCTCTATGTAGTGTTTTTCTATGCAGATTATTTTAAAACCCTACTGTTATAAAGCACTCGATATGTAATATCTCGCTCAGACTCAGCAGCCCCATAAGAGGGGCATGCAGACACCATTCTTTATCTCACCTCCCGACGCACAAGAGAAGAGAAGCTCAGAGAAGTTGAGTGGATTCCCCAGTGACACACAGCTCGGAAGTAGTCCGCGGGAGGTTCTGAATTAGGCCTGTGTAGGAGGGGGCCTTGGGGTGTCTGTGTGTGTCAGGCGTCCCTTTCCTAACGAAACACCTCTCCTGGGGTGAGCTTTCCAAAGGGAGTAGAGCAGTGTACGTAGTGAGCAGAAGTCATATTTTTGCGTGATTTGCCCTAGTAGTCCATGGAGCACAGTAAGAAAGGAAGCACATTTAACCAAGTTTCTTCCAAATGTCTCTGAACTTCATTCTCTGGCTTTTTTGAGGCAGCAAAGTACCCACAGCTGACCTGTGGGAGCTCTCTGTCCCCTAGCATGTCAGCCCTGAAAGGCTCAGAGATAAATAAGCCCCCAGTGAGCCCCTCATTGTCTTCCCTGTGCTTGGGCTAATGGGTGCCTTTCCCCAGCGGTGTCACCTCCCCTCCAGCCCACAGCACACGCAGGCTTTGCCCGGCTGAGGGTGAGGTGGCCCAGCCAGGAGGCACCAGGGCTGTACGTGGCCAAGCCAACAATGCCCTCTCCACTTCCGTCAAGTCTTTCCCTGCACCCACACTGCCCAGACTACCCTCCTACAAGGGCTGATGTCACCCATCCCCGGCCTCTGGGCCATTCTCTAGAAAGCACCTCAGACACCCTTCTGGCCGGGGCGGCTCCTTGGCCCCAGTGCACCAGGATGCTTCTTCTCAGTCTGACTTCAATCCTCCTGCGGCGGTGGCCCCTGTGCTGGCCGCCTGGGGCCAGGGAGGACTGACCCCCCCAACCCCTGCCTGGCTCCCCCTGCAGTGACAGCGACGAGGACGAGAGCACCAAGGAAGACAACACAGCCCTCCTGCGCTTCCACCTCAAATATGAGGCGGACATCCTCTTCACCAGGTGGGCCAGGGCCCCGGAGGAGTCAGGCCTAAGGTGGGGACACCCTCAGGGGGCCCCAATGAGGCTGGCAGTCCCAAGGCGAGGGACTGGTTGAGGGTCCCAGAGCAGGCTCCAGAGATGAGGGACTGTAAGATGGAGCCAAAGTGTGGCCATGGGGGGTCAGAGAGTGCAGCCCCCTCATCCATGGTGGGGAGGTGGAGTCAAAGGAGGGGACACAGGCCTGGCCCCAGGGAGCCCAGCCCTGCGAGGGGGAGCCCAGGACAGCCACAGGCACTCACTGCAGGTGCAGGTAATAAGCAGGAGGCAAGGTCGATGGAGAATTTTAAAATAATAATAAAACTGATTAAAAGTCTAACTGCTGGTTACTGCCACCTTGACCAGCAATTCTAAGCGGTGCCAGTGAGCAAGTGCTCCTCTCTGCAGGGCCGGCCATTCCCACCATCCTCTCCCCTGATATGTCGCTGCTCCCCCGTCTCTCCTCTGAGAGCCCCCAGGTGGGTGGAGAAGTCAAGACTTATCGGGAAACACAGAGAAAGAACCGTCAGGCCCTCCACAGCCACCCCAACCCCTAGCCTGGACAGCAGTGCCCCTAGGTGAGTTCATGCTCAAGGGGGCACTGCCCCCGGGCAGAGAGGCCACCACAGGGATGGCAAGTAGCCGGCTCCGAGGCCCATGCCCATCCCGCACGCAGAGGTAGCTTTGGCCAGTGGAGCTCAGTGTTTATTCCTGCTGATCCTCAGAATCCTTCCCCACGTGGCCCTCCTGATGGATACAAGAGGAAACCTAATTGTTATGGTGTAGGAAGCAGCAGGCACACGCCCACACCCTCTTTCATTCATTTATCCATCCAGCCAACACTGACTGCGCTCACGGCGGCCTGTCCTCTGTCCCTGCAGGAGCAGCAGCCTCAGCCACTACGAGGTGCAGCCCAACAGCTCACTGGAGAGCTACGATGGCCTTGGGCCTCCTTTCAGCTGCGTCTTCAAGGTGAGCCTGAGCGGAGCCAGATGGAGAGTGAAAGACAGGAGCCGAGGACCCCGCACTTGAGAGGGGAGGAATCCGAAATCATTGCTGGTTCAGGCGGTGAGCCTTGTCCCTGCCACCCTCTCAGGCGTGGCTTTGGACAAGCACCTTCTCTCCCGGGGCTTTTCAGTCAACTGGAACATAATGGGGCTTCCAGCAAGGAAGAGGAGATGTTCCAGCAAGGGAGATGAGATGTGTCCGCATATAATCTTTTCAATTTTTTTTTTTTTTTTTTAATGATCTGAACGCACTGGGGTCAATTCTGTCCTATAGAAGCAGCCCAGAGTTGGCAACTTCACAAAACCATGCAGGATTGGGTCTGTCTTTCTGTTCCACCTTCTTCTACGTGCCATTTTCGCCTCCCAGTTTCCCCTCCCAGCCCAAGATGGCTGCAGCTCCCACCACCACGTTCTCCTTCCAGGTGGCGGGAAGAAGGGAAGAGAGGAAAACACACCCTCCCTACTAAGGAATGCACTCCTTGGCAGCTCCTCACTGCCAGATCGCTCTCATTGCCCGTAACATCATGGGTTAGCTCTCAGGCAAGCTGGCAAATGTGGTTTCTGTCACTAAGGAGAATGAGAATTGTCAGATACTGGGAATCTGAGGGCCCTGGGGTCCTTCCCACGCCTGAAGGCTGTGCTGAGGGCTGACGTTTGAAAGGGTACTCAGGTCTGGATGGTTTGTCCAGGAGAGGTCTGGTGACCTTTCCAAGACCACACAGCTCGCCAGCGGCCCCTCCACTGGGGTTATGTTCCCAGTCGCTGTTGATCCCAAAGCCCTGCTTGTGGTCACGGCGGCCTTCATGCCGTGTGTTGCGGCTAGAATGGGAAACCGTCACCACCATTCATGTCCTTCATTAAGTAATGACTCCCCTTTCATCACAAATCAAGGGCTATCACCATCTCCACCCCCAGCCTCTGTCCCAGCTGGCCAGGCAACAAACTCCCCTGCCGCGGACCAGCACAGCAGTAGACGATGAGGCCGTCTCAGGGTTGAGAGAAGCGTGCAGGGTGGTCAGGGCGTCGGCGAAAGAGATGACAGACAGACACACTTCAAGAGAGTGAAAATCTGAGTGTAATTTTCTTTGAGTTGGTGACCAGTATATATATGTTTTCTAAAAGCATAAGAATGGCGAACATCAGTGAAGAAATCAGCTTGCTTATAGGTTTAGCTTACCATTGACAGGGCAGTGATTTACATCTGGACCCAGGCGCATTCCTAAGTAGTTAGGCTATTATTTTTTTTTTTGTTTTAGGTGATTAGTTTTTTGTTTAAACTACTCACTACCACTAAATTACTATTAATTAGCACGGGTGAGTTTTACTTTTCACAATGTAATATTTTTATCATTAAGATTAATGCTAACAAGGCTAAGCATACAACAGAGAAATTATTAAGCTAACAGTTCTATTAATACACAGTTTAGTAACGTTTCATTTGAATTAGCCTAGTTATTAGATTTCATGTTTTTTTTTAATCAGCAACCAATGACCTTTTTAGACAGAGAAAGAGAAAAGATTTTAGCAAGAGAAAAGATTTTAGAGAGACAGTTGTATTAGAATAAAGTTTGTGGGCCTTGAGAAGGTGAGATAAGGTTCCGTGTGGTCAGCATTCCTGTAGTGGCTCCTGGAGGTAGTTATCTTTCAACAGGCTTCCGTCTTATCTATGTCTTCGGGGGGTTTGCTGTTCTCCCCCTGCTTCAGGAAGTTTTGCTGTTCTCCTCCTGTGCGCTGGTTTCTTGCCCAGCTGGACCTAGGGACCGTGGCGAAAGCCATTAGCCCTAAAGGTCACTGCAGGGGGAGGTGCAGCACTCCCCCACACCATCAGAGGTGGGACCCTGGCTCTCCTGCCTCAGGGCCCCCAATGACTTGCCCTCAGCCTCCGGGACCCCAACCCCTTGCAGCACTTTCCATGTACTTTCCTGCCCAAGCCCCCAACCATGATTACACAGAGCTTAGCATTACTCAGAGGACTAGATGCCAGGGGACTTGTAGGGGGCATTTCCCAGAGCCGGCTGGGGCCCTCACTGCCCTGGGGCTGGTCAGGCCCTATGGGTACCGCTCCCCCCATACCTGGTTCTGCTGCATGTGCACTGACACCTTCCCGTCTCTGACTACAGGTCCAAAACTTGGGTTTGTTCCCCGTCCATGGGGTGATGATGAAAATCACCGTCCCTATCGCCACCAGGGCTGGCAACCGCCTGCTGATGCTGAGGGACTTCCTCACCGACCAGGTATAATGCCCTGGGGGCTTAGGAGAGGGGACCAGAGGCAACAGACAGCACCCTCACGTGTCCCCAAGTCCTCAGACCCCAGCTCCTCCAGGGAGCAGGCCCTCCCCTGGGAAGAAGAGGGAAAGCAACATCTGTAGGAGGCCAAGCGGCAGGCAGGGCCGATGGTGAGGCTGGCTGTGTCCCTGCGCAGGGGAACACGTCCTGTAAGATCTGGGGGAACAGCACCGAGTACCGGCACGTTCCAACAGAGGAGGACACGAGCCCTGCCCCACAGCTGGTAAGTGTTGCCGCCGAAAGCCATGGGGGACCCAGAGGAGGGATGCTGAGTCGGGAACTACTTCTCTCCTTGGCAGTAGTTTGTCAGTGAGAGCATGTGCCCAGCCTCCGGGAGGAGACACAATGCAGGAAGCCACTTTCCTGCCCTTCTGCAGCGCACCACCTCCAGGAGACAGTGTGTGGCGAGGAAGCCTCGAGCAAGTCATGTCAGTGTAGAGATGTGTGAGCAGAGTTGGGGTATAAGTTGGAGTGTGGGCATAAAAGAATTCACCAGAGACACAGTGGAGACTAGAAAAGGGGGATTTATTGAAATACACTGCTAAGAGGAGCAGCAGGCGAGACAGGAGAGGTCTGCACATGAAGGATTTGGGCCTCCCCTTTATAACCTATTTTTTTTTTTGCAGGCTTTTCACGACTGGGGAGTTGGTTGGGTTGGTTAGTCCTGGGATAGCTGGTCTTGGGCATTGACCTTTGACACAGAATGTGTCCTGGCCCTGCTTCTGCATTCAGGGTCAAAGCCCTGGTTCCCATAGGAGCCTTATCAATTCCCTTTCTCTATTCCAGCCTCCCAAACCTTCCTGCTGGGCGGGGGCTGGGGGCTTCATTTTAACCTATTAAATGCTACCCCAACACAAACAGCCAGGAGAAAAGGAACAGAGACCGTGGACTCAGGCCTGAGCCTCCAGGGGCCGGTGGGAGAGACCGTAGAGGCCAGGGGAAGCAGCCAGGCAGAACACACACATGTCTCCTTGGAGAGTGAGCGCCCTGCCCCGGGGAGCTCAGCGTCACCTTCCAAAGCCTCCCCCGAGGTGTATGTTCTGGGCAGTCTGTCCCCAGATGCCAATTTCTGAGCACGTCTTCACTATGTCTTACCCACCCAGACAAAAAGCTTAGCTGTGTTAGCTTTATTTGCCCCAGTAAGGGCCTCCCACAATGCATTTTTTGAGAGTGGTGCTCTGCACTGACCGCGGCCGGGGACAGGGAGGGGGTGGAAGTGGCTGTGAGAGCCACACAAATAACTTTAATACATTCTAATTATTCATCTGACATGTGTATGGGTTATCCATTGAGATATCTGCAAACAATAGTAACTGTTATAGTTTACTCATTTAATCCTTATAAATAGTTTTTCTCATCTCGCTCTGGGTAGGACCTCCAGGGCAATGGTAAACAGAAGTGATAAGAGTCTTGTCTTGATCCTGAGTTTAAAGGAATTGTTTTTAATTTCTCATTATTAAATTATACTTGCTATAATTTTTTACATGAATATCCTTTATTCAGATTTAGAAAGGTCCCTGGGAGTTTTTATCATAAACAGAAGTTGGATTCCCTAAAATGCCTTCATAGAATTTGTCCCTTTTATCCCTTTGGAGGGAGATGACATCATTGATTCCCTAATGTTGGACTGAAATTCTTCTCTGGAATACAGCCAAGGGATGCACGACTTCACAGGGAGCATCGGCTACGCCATTCTTCCCTTGGCCCCCGGCCACCCCTGCACCCCCAGCCCTGGGTCCCCCACATTTGTCCCCTGTCCACTGCCCCACCACCCCAAGTTGGTCGAGCAGTGCAGCTGTGCCATCAGTCTGGGGGCCCACTCTGCAGCTCGCATTCTCAGGTCAGAAGTAGAGATGCCTCCCCTTCCTCCCCCAGAGCCTGACCGCTCACCCCCGAGACCTACGTTCTCTTTCAGAATCACAGCAACTCCGACATTGTCTCCATCAACTGCAACGTGAGGCTGGCTCCCAACCAGGAAATCAATTTCCAACTGTTTGGGAACCTATGGCTGAGGTCCCTAAAAGCAGTACGTAGAGCCCCTGGGCTGGGCTGGAAGGATGGGAAGGAGGGGGTGCTGGGGCATCCCCACCTGGGGAGGGGCCAACTTCTGACGAGAGCTCTGATTTTATACAGCTCAAGTACAAGTCACTGAAAATCACAATCAACGCAGCCCTGCAGAGGCAGTTCCACAGTCCTTTCATCTTCCGAGAAGAGGACCCCAGCCGCCAGGTGAGCCCCTGGGAACCCCACGGACCTGGGCTCTGGCTACGCCAGTTTGAGCAGGGGCCGCCCTTCCTCTAGGGTTTTCACACACTCTTGGCCGTAGTCCTGCCGGAGACAGACCTGCGCAGGTAGTGCAGCACACCAGGAGAGGGGGAAAGCAAGACTAGCAGCAGTTAGGGCAGAGGTGGGAAAGGCAGAAGGAGGCATCCAACAAGCGCCTGGGGCTGCACCACAACAGCCTCAAGGAGGGGCAGAGGAAAGAAGGAATCTGCTCATTTTGCATTTTGCACTAGAAGAAACTGGCCTCCAAGCCTGTCAGCCCCAGTGGGCCACAGTGAGTCTGTGACTTGGGCAGGCCAGCAGCCACCATTAGCAAGCACCCCACCCCGCACCTCCCCACCCACTCGCACCTCAAATCTAATGAAATGCAAGTGGCCTGTGCTTCACAAGTCCGGTATGAACTGAACTTGTGGATGACGCTGAGCTGGAGAGGTGCTGGGTTCAGAGATCGAGGCCCTTGGGTTACCTCTGAGAAGTTTCACCAGAGCTCCCCTTTCAGTGGCACAAGGCGACTTTCCCACGAGGCAGAGATGTTTAGTTATATTCAAAGGGCAGGTTTATTATTTTAAAAAAAGGAAAGATGCTTGCAGACACAAGCAGGCAGAAGGAGTTGCCTCTAAAAGGGACAAGTTTGTGAATGGAGACGCCTGCATGGTCACAGGCAGACAGCTTGGGAGGAGAGCTGCTTCTTGCCAGTGTAGAAATTGCACTGTACATAGTTCTTTGGGGGAATGATTTTGTTCCTTTGTGGAATTGTTATCTATTGTTAAATCAATTACTTCTAGGATGTGACTAGGTTGACCTGTAAGGACCGGGGGGTTCTCTACAGTGGCCCTCCGGCTCCACATCCCACCTCTGGTCTGCGACTCCAAGGCTTTCTATAGTAGCATCTGATACCTGCAACAGCAGCTGGTGCCTAAGGTTTTGCATGTCTATAGGTGGCTTAACAGCTCTGTTAATCATTTCTACCCCCACCTCCAGTTTCTGGTCTTGTGACCCTGTATCCTAAGTTTTCTACACTTAGCCTCCATCACAAACATGTCTCATTATTGGGACTCAGAATGTTGTAGGTCAGACTGGCCGAAATCAGGGTCTAGGAGAGGGGGTAGGCTCTGAGGGAAAACGAGAAGTTGGATATTGAAAAAGTCCCGACCGCTGGGACACTGGGGCACGGCGGCTGTGGACACTGCTGCCCTCCATTGGTCATGTCCTGGAACCGTGGCCTGTGCTCCGGGCGAGCCACCACCCATCACCTCCCGCCCAAACCCAAGGCAACACTGGTCAGCAAAACAGGCATGGACCAGAGTAAACCACCCAAATCCAGTCACCCAAGGCCACGGTAGGGTTTCCACTGGCACTGGATTTCTTGACCTTTGTGGCCTCTTCCTCGTAAAAAAATGTTTTTTATGACCCCCGTCCATATCAAGATGACAATTCAGGTAAGATTATATTCACTTTTTATTCTAATTTTCAAAGAAATAAGGACTTTTTTATGGGCTCCCAAAAGCACTGTGGGCCCTAGGCACTGCCCAGCAAGCGTGTCTGCAGGTAAGCCACCCTGAGCTCAGCAGGGAGTGACTGCAGATGAAGAAGAGGCACAAGGCCAAGGCATAGGACACCAACAATTAGAAGCTTGGGAAATGATGAGGAAACCTCAAAGGAGAGGAGCAGGCTTTGGTGGAACCCAGAGAGTAAGTGGCCCAAAGTGGAGACAGAAAGCGTCTCAACAAGAGGCAAGTTCACGGGGTCCCAGTCAGTCCATCTCCGGTGTGTGGCCAGAGCTTGGAGCCGCTGCAGGCTGGGTGCCGCCCGGCCCTCCGATGGAGAAGCAGCACATTTGGAAAGGAGGATTCACAAGGCCAGAAACTGAAGCTGCTGGAGATGGGGGTAGAAATGATTAACATAGTCGTTAAACAGGCTGTAGAGAAGGAAAGTATCAGGCCAGTCTGGAGGTGGGGATGTGGAGATTGAGGGCCATTGGGAAAAAATTACCAGTCCTTTCAAATCTACAAGTTACACCAAATATAGATAAAATCCTTAGGTGCCAACCCTGGAAATAATTTAACACCAGCAGGAAGGGGGCTGGGGCCACCAGGGGGCACAAAGGAATGATCTCCTCCCAAAGAGAAGACAATGCATTGCCGCACTGGCCAGGCGAGGCTCTCCTGCCCGCCTGTGGCTATGACCTTCTCCCCTTGCCAAGCAGCAGAGGCAGCTCTCCTCCCTAGGCTGCCCGCCTGTGACTACGCAGGCCCCTTTTAGCAAACCTGTCCCTTTCAAGGGCGGATTTCTGCCCGCTTGTGTCTGTGCAAGCATCCTTTACTTTTCTTTCCCTTTTCATTTAAATCTGTCCTTTTGGATAGAACTAAACATATCAGCCTCATGCGAAACTCGCACTGCGTGGCTGAAAGGGGAGGTCTGCTGAAACTGTTCTCAGAGGTAACCCAAGGCCCGGCTCTTTGAAACCAAACCTTTCCAAACAGACATCACCTCCAGCATTTCCTTGAGGACAATGATGCAGTTCTCCAGCTGGTTGCCAGCTGCTTCCTGCCCTCCAGCCCTGCCCCAGGCAGCCACGGGAACCCCAGAACAGTCAAGTTATTGATCTAGCCCCCCATACACACCCCTTGCAGATCACATTTGAGATCTCCAAGCAAGAAGACTGGCAGATCCCCATCTGGATCATTGTGGGCAGCACACTGGGAGGCCTCCTGCTATTGGCCCTGCTGGTCCTGGCACTATGGAAGGTGAGGGCCCCGCCAGATGGGGAAGGAGGCAGCATCCTGGCTGGATGGCCCAGGCCCGGGGGTCCAGCCTGAGGGCCCTGTGGAGAGCTGGCACCCACCCAGCCTCCTCCCCCGAACCTGACTGCAGCATGGAGCCCTCAGCACAGCAGACAGGTGGCTGGGGTCACCAGGGGGCACTAAACCTATGGCACTGACCCTTCTGTGGGTCCCTTTGAGAACAGGATGGAAGCTAGGGTTCCACTTACCAGAAAAAAATACATACACGTATACAACCATAAAATTTCGCCAAAAGTTAACAGACTATTGGCAAACTGTCCCCTCAAAGTCCTTCTCTATCTCTGTTAAGAACCCCTCAAGTTAAGAACCCCAGATGGTCTGAACCTCTTTCTGTGACAGCTAAGATGAGGGAAGCCCAGAGAGCAGTGTGGGCAGGGCAGAGTGCCCCCTGGCTTCTGTCTCCAGCCCTGGGGTTCCATCCACCCCATTCCAACATCCCCTCATCAATTAAACGGCCCATTGTGCGGTCTGGGGTGGGGGACTACTCATGGAAAGCTGAGGTGTTCAGGAAGCCTTCTGAGGAAAGAGGCCTGAGGTGGGCTAGCAGAGGGAGATCAGGGAGAAGAGACAGATCTTGTCGACTCTGCCCTTCCCTGAGCCTTCTGCCTTTTATCCCCACAGCTCGGCTTCTTTAAAAGCTCCAAACGCAGAAGGGAACCCAGCCAGGACCCCACCCCCAAAGAGCTGGAATGAGGTTCCCGAGGAGGCTGCAAATTGATGGGGGCCAGGATGCCCGGAGAACCAGTCGGTGTGCAGGCCCAGGCCAGTGGCCCACCGAGTTGGGGAAGAGAGGATGCCAGCTCGCTTGCACTTGACCTCTTCTCCTGAGAGAAGGGCCCTGCTCCCTCTGGAAAGGAATTCAAGCCAGTTTTAAGAGGGACTGCCCTATTGGGAGGCCAAGACACCTCCAACACAGATCCTGGGGATTAAAGGGATGCCTTCTAAGGCATAACTCAAAGCCTCCCCAGGGCTCTGTGGGGGCGTTTGCTGCCCCCACTACTAAGGTGCTAGGAATTCCTAATCATCCCCATCCTGAGAAGAAACCCAGAGGAAGACTGCAAATACACACTCCAGGCCTCTAGTTCCAAAGGACCCAATGGGACAGCAGATCTGGCTCTGCACTGTCCTTCCACCCCATGCTGCAAGGGCTCCCGAGTCACCCAGCTTCCCCAGGGGAGATAGGCCCCCAGAGCTACCCCTGAGCCCAAGGGCTTAGGGGCGATAGCTACTGGCGAGGGATAAAGAAAGACTCTGGGACTTGGAGACTATGACGGACAGGCAGCTGGGACCCAGGACTTGGGCACCCACCCTGAGAAGGGGAAGCAGGCAGCTTCTCCACCCACCTGCGTTCACACTGACTTGCAACCCACACACTCCCTCACCCTGCTCTCAGCCCCAGCCTCTCTGCTACCAAACTCCCAGGCTGCTTTTATTCCTAGGTACCTCATAGGAAGCCTGGATGATGCAATCCCCAGGGCTCCACATTCCCACTTTTGTCTTCCAGCTCAGCCTGCCAGGCAGCACCAGCAGCAGGAATTGGAATGGAGCCTCCCCGCTGCATCATCATCATCAACACACACACACACACCCCACCCCTCATCCCTTCTTCTGCCCACCTCTGCAAGGGACAAGGACTAAGGAGGACTAGGCAGGTGCTGCTGGGGGAGGGGAGTCCTCTCTGAAATGCACTGAATAAAGCCGGTGCAGGAACCCCAGAGCCTGTGCAACCTTGGTGGCAAATATCTGACCCACCGGGCTGTGGGACAAACAGTACCATCAATGACAATGCCCCGAGGACAAGAGGCACACCTGGTGCCCAGCTGAGTAATTTATGCCTTAACCTTGTTTTAAGGTAGAAATAAAGGGGGATACATCAAAAGCATCTGTCTGTTACATAATATGACTTTTACTGTCATAAATTTTTAAGAAAAAAAATTTAATCCAGTGTCTAAAAAACCAAGGCCCATTCTGTGGGCAGAGCATGCCCCAGTGAGCAGCACTCTTCAGAGGAGGCAGACAAGGGCCTCCCTGCTTCCTTCCTATGGTCTCTAAATGCTGGGGAGGGACTTGTCCACCTCTTGGTTCCAAGACAATCCCTCCAAGTGGCTGCCTGACCTGTTCCCTCCCTCCCAACACCCACCATTCCAGCCCTGCCCTCTCAGCCTCCCGATTTCCCCAGACTCACACTTCAGTGCCACAGTGCTGACCTCCTGCACCATGACTTGGAGTTTCTTCACCTTTACCACAGGTTGCTCTTAAACCAAGTTACCTCCACTCTATTCTTGTGCAACTGAAATACCAAAAAGTCAGAATAGAACCTTAGAAATTGTTACATCTTTTCCCTCCAGAACCAGAGAAGTCAAGACATAGCTGGAAGTTGCACAGTAAAATCCACACTAATCCCAGGGTTGCTTGGCTCAAGCCAGATACATTCTAGCTCAGCCTTAGTGAGGATTGGTGAAGGAGCAGACAGAATTGATATAAAGTAACACTTTATGGGAATATTTTTTTTCTCAAATGGTAAAACCAAGATCAGAAGGCAAGATTTTAAGATAATTTTTCATCTGAGCCATGATCCTCCTGAACGGAATAACCAGACTAAAGAAGAACCCATGAACTCAGTCAAAAGTGCTTGTTTGATTTAGCGTCCAAACACCCTAGATCTGAGAACGCTTTTATGAGAAACCTGTTAGAGGTTGGCAACCACATTTTTAAAAATTGCCATGTGCAGCCACACTGCAGACCAAACAAATATATCTGCAGGTCAGATGCAGCCCACTGCTCAGTGATTTGCAACCTCTGGACACTCAAGAAGCAGCTCTATCCCCAGGACTCCCAGGTCCCTCCCTGCCCTTCCCCACCCCACACCAAGAACAACCATAAGTCAAAAGGTAGAAAAGCTGGGAGGCCTATCATTCAAGGCCTTTTGCCCTTTTCTTGTGTCTCTCTGCCCTTGCCCATTAATTCTCCCTTACCCAATGCTCTGTGTTGTATAAATGTTCAAAATCGGCCTTAAGAGTGCCTGCTAGGAGAGAGAAGATGAACGTCATAGAGAGCAAAGCCTCGTGCCAGTGCTTAAGACCTGGCTGCACATCAGAATCTTCCAGGAGCTTTAAAAGTGACCTATGCAAAGGCCCCACGCCTTAATTGGTGGGAGAGGGGCCAGGACATCATTTTTGCTTCAAAGTTCCCCCTTGATGACTCTTATGTGTTGAGCTGAAGTCAACAGGCAGGTGAACATGCAGGCTAGAAAATAAACAAGGGGCGAACATGCACAGGGCACTTGCTCGAGGAGTAACCAGAACTGCTGTCATCGTGATGGTGGTCAAGTTAACTCAGGTCTAGCCTGGTGTTGGGAAGTTTCTCTTGTTCCAGCAAGTCTTGAGAATGGGAATCACTGCAGGACACTTCACGCAGCTCCCTGGGTGCTTCGAGTCCCAAGGGGGCTCCAGAGTGGAGCACATTTGCTGCTGTCTGGGAAGGGAAATAACAGTAGATTCGGAAGCAATTCTGGCATTTAGCAGCAAGCAGCCTAAAATGCAACCTCAAATCAACATTAAAATCCATACTGTATTGCACAAATGTCATCCTTCATAATGTTCTCTTTTAATCATTATGATGGAGCTAAAGCTGAACTCAGTATTTCATGAAATATAATCAAACTTAAAAATGATGGGCCGCATCAGCCCATCCTAGACACAACTCTCAACAGGCTGCTTTGAGTTCCAGGTGGCCACTGAAGCTCAGCGATTCGGTGGCAAACTTACATACATAGGAGGAAATATGCCTGGAGGTCTGACTCTTAGTCAATCAAATCACCTGGTGGCGGCACAAGGGTTAAGACGCAACCCATGAAGCTATGCACAGCCACTGCAGCACAAGTTCGATTCCCGGCCAGCCAGGAAGCAACCCACATGGAAAGCAACAGACCTCTCCAGACTCGCCCCGCTGCTCCCCTCAGCAGTGTACTTCAGTCAATCTGCCTGTTCTGTTCCCCACTCTGTCTCTGGTGAATCCTCTCACACACACACCCACACCTCTGGTCTTTCCCCCAGCTCTTGTATGCATAAATCTTTAAAAAAAAATAAAATAAAATCACCAACACAGGCAGTTTTATGATTTGGTCCATGGATTGTCAGGATTTTGTTGTAGGCTGTCTAGTAGACCTCCAAGGAGTTGGAAAATGAGGCATGTGAGACACCCTGGATGGGTTCTGTTGATTCTGACATGATTCAATTCCCACACGAGGAAAAGGCAGTCCTGAGAAGATAAAGCTGGGAGAAGCAAACACGTGTGTACTCAAGAGACCACTGTCCTAGTGTTCTGTGGGGAATGTGGACCTCAATGATGGCATCCCTCCGTGCCAGCCAGCTGAGCACTGGAAACGAGAAATACTGGCAGGAGAGTGGCTTTTCTCAGGTATTACATAGTGCGATATGCAAGTTTAGAGGGCATATTGTGCCCCTTAAAATAATCATCAATCTTGAGTTGAGCTTCTCAAAATGGGATCCTGGAGCCATTTCAATCAGAACCACAGACTTCAGTTCTACCCCAGAACTCACAGATCAATTCCTATGAGGTCATTCTAAGCACATTAAACCTACAGAGTCAGCAATCTAGGGCCACAATTTTCTGTTATTCTCTAAACTTCAATGTCAGTTCCTTAAATAGTGTGGCCATTCTCAGCTGCCCTGAAGCCTCTCTTGGTGGCAGCTGTAATCAGCAAAAAACCCCAAGGGGCATCCTTCAAGTAGTGGGGTGCTGGGTTTCCCTTTTGTTAAGGAAGGTGGTTTCTTTTTATTTTTTTAAAGGTTTATTTACTTATGCATACAAGAACTGGGGTACAGGCCAGAGGTGGGGGGGCACAGAGGATTCACCAGAGACAGTGGGGAGCAGAACAGGCAGACTGACTGAAATACACAAGACAGGTAGCAGGTGGAAGGGGTAGAACGCTAGAACAAAGACAGAGGGAATGACTGCCCAAGGAAATTTGGGTGTGGAAAGGTATAGACTCATTGCTATCTCTATCAGCATTCAAGGAGTTTTAGCACCATACTCTCCCAGAATAAGGCCTTAGACTTGAGTTTGTCCCCCTGGCTCCAAGCCCCAAGATGCCAAGCAGCCTGTAATGGCAACAGCTGGCTTAATCATTTTGTCTCTGGCATGATGACTCACACTGCAAACCTGACGCCCCCAAACAGGAAGTAGCCAGGTCTCTCTATTCATTCCACACACTGGTCTTAGTTTTTACCTTCAGCCAATGTCATGCCAGTCCCTTATTCTGCACTAACTTCTTACAATTAAAAATAAATCTCCCCAAATTATCCCTATATTAGTTTTAACATCAACTAGGTAGGCTCTCTCCAAGGGCATTCAAGCTTGATCGACCACTTTTGTGTCACAGTCTATTCCATTAGCTTTAACATCACACTAAAGTAGGACAGCATGTTCCAAAACAAACTGAAACAGGCACAGAGAGCTTTGCTGGTTTAGCATGAAGGGAGGGCTAGAAGCTTTGCACCTGGACTCTGAAACTTTTTGAAAGATAAAGGCTAAAATTATACCTAGCTAATGCAAAATATTCCTTTAAGGAGGGGCCCATTCCTTAATGGACTCATCATCTTCCCTAATCAGTAATGCCTTGTTCTATTTTATCTCCTGGTGCTATGTTTTAAAAAAAGAGCAGCAACTCAAATGTTTCTTTTTGAAATGTTTTCAGGTGGCCCAAGCCAGAGTCAAAAATTAACATCATAAGCTTTTATTTTGGGAAATTAAAATTTCAGGGAAAACAGAAAATCTTATTTCAAATAGGGACCTCTAGCTGGAAAACAAGCTTATCAGAGCAAGGACCATCTTTCTTACATTGGTCTGACTGTCCCTAGTACAGAACCTAATAGTAGGTGCTCAGGAAGTGTAATGTCTGGCGTTTGTTCCCACTGGTGGAGGTAGAAGCAATTCCCAGTCCTGCTTTTAGGATGGACTAATAAGCACACTAAACTTACAAAGCATAGGCAAATTTAAAAATATAATTTTGTTTAGGCTTGCTAAGATTTTGCAAGCCACCTGAAATTTGCATCTCATACTGAAATTTCTAGATCAAGTATTTGATGAAATGTATTACTGCCAATATTTTCTGTAGTCTGGTCATCTGTTACTTTAATAGAGCAGATATTGTTGAAACAAAACGATGATTAGAATCTCTTTGGATGGTTTCTGCAGTCGGCTGCGCATTGCCAACAATTGCAGGCCCAGAAGAGATGCTATGAGGAGCTTCTCTGGCACTGGCACCAGATTTACACAGAGGAAGAGAGCACTGTTCAGCGGGTCAAGATACCAGAGCCTGCCTGACACTTTGTTCTTGTGTGATGTGGATGGAAAAGTCATTTATTTCTGGTCTCTCTCAACTAAAAAGAGAGAGATTTATGTTAAATGACTTTTTCAGTTCTCTATAAAGGGACTGGAAAGGCTATCCTAAATCTAAATTTGAAAACATGTGCCAAGGATGTACTTCATTACTATCTAATACTCTTCTGGTAATCTTCACCAATGTAATTATGTGAGGTGTGAATATTACAAAGGAAAATGCAAAATTATCACTACTTACAAATGATTAGTGTATCTGGGACATTCCAAAAGAAGCAACTGAAAAATTACTTTTAAAAAAGCATTTCCATTAAAATGTCTATATATAAACATTAACATTTAGAAGTATAGGGGCCTCCCTGGTGGCGCAAGGGGTTAATAAGCACAGCACAATGAAGCTATCAGCAACCTCTGCAGCAAGAGTTTGATCCCTGGCAGGCCAGGGAGCAACCCACATGGCACAGCAGACCTCACCTGTCTCACCCACTGCTCCTCTCAGCAGTGTATTTCAGTAGATCCAC